CTTGAAGGATAAAGACTGTTCAGAGGGGGTCCCCCGGCGACCATGGGGTAGATGCTGTATCCCAATTCGTTCCTGAGATAATGAACATCACCCTGGCAAATCCCACAATATAAGATTTTTAAGGTGATATCGACGTCACCATTTGCCCTGTATATAAAGAAATAATGATAGCTGTGAGGGTTGGGTATACACAAACTAGCTGGACGTTGACTTGCAGTAATTAGAAGCAAGTATACATAGATGAGGAAAACTATATGTGTGTGTGTGTTAAGAAGAATAAGAAGAAGAAGAAACCTTCTGGAGAAGTGAAAAGGGGAAACGATGCCGGAGGAATCTGCAGCAGCTAACCCAAAGGCAGGTGTTTTGTGCAGTTCTTGTGCTGAGATAGGGTTGGCCATATTGCTTCGAAGGTGTATGGAGATTTATGATCAGCAGAGACGAGAGCTGAGTTGAGGATGCCTTTATATGTGTGATTGTGTGTTTGTATTTATAGAGTGTTCAATTCCGCTAGAATTCAAAAATTCAACCACCTCACTTTTTTTTTTTTTTTTGGTTGATAACAACCACCTCAGTTATTAAATCCGTAAATGGTAATCTCCCACAGCCTGCATCACCATAAATAAATTGACAGCAAATTTTTTCAATTGAGATTTATAAAATGTTTTTAAATTTTTTTGATATTTTTTATTTTATTTTTTTAAAACACAAATTTCATGTCATTCACAAATTGACAATTTTAAAATTATTTTTTCAGATAACTTTAACGAAGGTGAAAAAATTTTTAACAACTCCAGTAATGGGAGTTGATAGGCCCACGTACGTCTTTTAGGGATGACTAATGAACAGCGGAAACCAAGTGCTCCTTGACTAGACCAGTTCACAGACGCGCGCGAGTCTTCACTTCTTCGTCCAGGATTGGATGCTTTGTTTAAAATAAGAAATTCTCCAAAACTTGTCCATTGATTAATAAACTGAGAAGATTGTCGTGGCTTTACTTTCGTGATAATTGTGTATTAGTGTATTACTAAAGTATTTTACGATACTTTTTACAAAAACTAATAAATGAGCCAGCTTCGTTTATTTCAAAGCTGTATGTCCAAAGAAACAAAAACGAAGATATGTAACATATCTTCTGTAAATTATCATGTTGAAGATGGCGTTTAATCCCCAATCAACTAGATTTAAAATGCATGTGTTCTGGATTTATGTTGAAAAGTGGTTTATTTACGGTTTGCGCTGTCATTTTATTAATCTTAAAGTAATGTTTGGATTGTTGGATTTGGATTTAAATTTTATATTTAAAATCTCCATTTCAAAAATCACATTTAAGATACATGAAATTAAACTTTTTATTTGGGTAATTTAAAAAATTTTAAATGAAAAGGATATATCAGTTGAGAATCAAAACCAAAATGAAAAATTGAGAGTGATGAATTTACTTCTCTATTTTGTGATGATAAGATATGAGAACGAGGGATAAAAAAAATATAAGAGTCATGAAGGCATCAAAAGTGAAAACACAAAGAGAATAAAAGGCTTGAAATGACTGTAATTTTAATTGACTTACAATAAATTTAAAATTATAAAAAAATATAATAAGAAAAGGATTTAAATTTAATTCCGCCTATATTTTATAGCCGGTCTCAAGCTCAGGTAAAGAAGGAGGGTTGTGTTAAGCTCTCAACAGTCAATGTAAAACTTTGTTGAATCTCACATAGATATAGACAATAGACGTTTTTGTGCTAATGCTAAGTTGTTGCTTGTAAGTAATGTACTGCATGGCTCGAGTGTAGTGACAAGTAAATTAGGGTCGCTACATCGACTCTCGAATATAATGTTAAATGAGCAAGAGCTATTATGTTATTCTGGATGAGTGTGGCTAAAGAAGTTAGTCCATTTGAGACAGTCTTAAAGAATTATTTTGGGAAGACTTGGAGGGGTTGATCCAAAGCATACCACGTGATAAAAAGATCTTCATTGGAGGAGACTTTAATAGTCATGTTGAGAGGCAGGCAGGTTATTATGCGAGGGTGCATAGTGGTTTGGGTTTCAGGGAGCTAAATATAAAGGATAATCTATTCTTGATTTCTTTTTGGCATATGATTTTAAGATTGCTAATACTTATTTCAAGAAGAGAGATGGGCATCCCATCATTTATAAAAGTGAAGCTTAAAGGTCACGGGTTATTTTTTTTTTGGATAAGGAACGTAGATAGAAGACTTTGTAAAAATTGTAAGATGATTTTTAGAAATGCTGTAACGATACAACACAGGGTCTCTGTCTTTAATGTGTGTATTGTGAGTAAAAACTTAAAGCATTGACAAGTTATAAAAGATAAAAAGCGAGAAATTTTCAAGAGAAATCTCTTGGCTGAAGGAATTTGGGAGTCTCGAGAAAGTGCTAGCATCTTATGGGAGGATATAATTGTGAAGGTAAGGAAGGTTGTAAAAGAAGTTTTAGGAAAATCAAAAGGTTTTAGTCCAGGAGATAAGGAGCCTTGATAGTGGAATAATAGTATATAAGAAAAAATCAATTATAAGAAGGAGTGTTTTAAAGCCATCCATTTGTACAATCATGATAAAAATTGGAAAATACATAGTATGATTAAAAGGAAAACTAATAAGGCAGTGAGTAAAACTCGTTCTAAAGTATTTGAAGAGTTTTATAATGATCTTGGGACAAAGGATGGAGAATGAAAAATTTATAAGATTTCTAAGAGTAAGGAAAGAAAATCAAGAGATTTGGAACAAGTATGATGTATAAAGGATAAGTCACAGATGGTGATATTAAAGACAAATGGGAGATAAATTTTTCTAAACTTTTCAATGATGGCGGGGGTTCGTCAATTAACTTGGAAAATTTAGTAACTCCTAAAAGAGAACAAAATTTATCATTTTATCAAATGATACAAGCTTGGAAAGTAAATGAAGCTCTTAAGAAAATGTCAAATGCTAGAGCCATGGACTTGATTAAATCTCTATTGAAATGTGAAAATGTTTGGATGAAGAAGGGGTGCGGTGGTTTAACGAGATCTTACAATCTAAGAGAATACTTGACGATTGGAAGAGAAACAGCTCAATTCCTATTTATAAAAATAAAGGAGATATTTAAAATTGTGCTAACTCTAGGGGGATTAAACTTATGAGTCATACAATGAAATTATGGAAACAAGTGATTAAGTATAGATTGAGATTGAAAGTTGGTATTTCTGAGAATTAGTTTGACTTCATGCCAAGTAAGGTGACTATAGAAGTGATTTATCTATTAAGAGAATTAATGAAAAAGTATCGATGCAAAGGTAAAGATTTACATATGATTTTTATTGATTTGAAAAAAGTTTATAATCATGCATCAAGAGAAATACTTTAGAAGACATTAGAAAAGAAGGGTGTTTGGGTTGCCTATATTCGAGCTATATAAGACATGTAAGACATGTATGAGAAGGTAACAACTAGTATAAGAATGTTTAGTGGCAAAACAAAAGACTTTCCTGTAAATATTGGATTGCATCAGGGATGATCTTTGAGTCTTTATTTATTTGATCTAGTCTTAGATGTTTTGACTAAGCATATTCAAGAGGAATCCCTAAATGCATGTTTTTCGTAGATGATATAATTCTTATTTATAAACTTGAGTTATGGATGAGGACATTAAAATTAAAAGGTTTTCGTTTGAGTAGGAATAAAATGAAATATCTACATTATAATTTTGATAAAAGGTTAGTGAGTATTAATTTAGAATTGAAATTGGGTGATTAGATCATACCTAAAGTGAAAATGTTTGGATATTTGGGAGCGACTATTCAACATAATTGAAAAATTAATGAAAATATTAGATATAGGATGCAGGCTGTGTGGTTTAATTAGAGAAAAGCTAAAAAAGTTATCTGCAATTGTAAGGTACCTAATAAACTTAAATAGAAGTTCTATTGAACCGCTATAAGACTAGTAATATTATATGATAGTGAATGTTGGGCTTTAACAGGAGAACAAGATCATAAAGTTGGAGTGATAGAGATGAAAATGTTGAGATAAATGTGTGGATATACACATAAATACAAAATTCAAAATGAGAGCATATGGGAAAAGGTGTACATTGCATTTATTGAAGAAAAAATGGTAGAAAATTATTTAAAGTGGTTTGAACATGAACAAAGAAGACTATGGGATGTATTTGTAAAGAAAGTGAAATATATAACTTTGAGCCCTGTTAAAAAAGATAGAGAAAAGTCAAAGAAAACACTTTTAAAAGTTGTTGATAAAAACCCTTTAATTAACTATATTTTTAAAAACTTAATAAATAATATAACACAATGATGTCATATAATTCATATGGTTGACCCCATTTCATAAGATAAGGCTTGTTATTATTGTTGTAAATAAAAAAAATTGATCTAAATTTAAATCTGAATTTTCATTAAATCAGACTCACCATAAGATATTTCTTGGATGGCGGTGGGTTTTTTTTTTTTCTTTTTAATTTCTGGAGTCAGTTGAACAAAATTCAATGAATTGCTTGGACTTTTATTTTCATTTAAAAATTTCTTAAATGTATCAGGCCAAGGAACCTTGCATTTACTAGTTTTAGTTATGAAGTTCTGATCCGGAGAAATTTTTTTTTGGGGTTATGGCGATCCAGAAATCTTTCTCCCTAATTGACATGCCTCCTCATGCAATCGTCTGGGATGATATGTGGGCAAAGCAAAAGCCCACCACTACAATCGTGAAATCCATGTGTACCCATGTCGCTCCAGCATTAAGGTCTCAGGCCCACACAGTTTGATTTTCTGTTATTGCCTCTCGCTCTCTCTCTCTCTCTCTCTCTCTCTCTCTGTTTTTTTTTTTTTTAACTCCCTCCAGTGGGAAATTTTGGAATTTCCAAGAGTACTTTTTGTTCTCTGTTTTAAGCATGAATTCTTCTACAAGTTTATGCTATCTATACCTAATTAGTTACTTCTTGTATCTTTTTAAGTTCTACAATAAACTTTGATAAAGACGGTATGGACTGGGTTCATAAAGGCACGCCCAACATTCACCCTAAAATATCCTTTAAATTGCATAAAAGAACCTCCTCGATCAAGGATTTGACAATTTTAGTCTTTCTCACACATGGTTTATTATTTATTGTATCTTGGATCAGTTCGACCAAAAAAAAAAAATCACATCTTCCATGAGTAATAAGGATAGATATGATGGTGGTCTTTATCACTTGACAAATACAATGAAATTCATCACCCAATCGATTTTTTTTTTTCCTCCATCCGAAAGACTTGGACTGGTGATCAGAGAGACGACTTTATATGTATGTCAGATTAATTCTAACTATCTGGAGAGACCTTATGGATGGTGTTGGCCACATCAATCACAAAACGATACTTGACATCGTTTTTGGCGACTCGGTCTAAAGCAGTGTTCACGTAATCCATTGGAATTACTTCAATATCTGCCGTGATATTATGCTTTGCTGCCAAATCAATCATCTCCTGCGTCTCTCCCATTCCTCCCGCAGCACTTCCTGCAATCATCCTCCTCCCTGTATATACAAAACCTTTTTCATCAGTCATCTATATTTTCAATCTTCTTCAAAGTCTTCACAAATTTAAAAGGAATTGAATTAACTAAGCTGTATGAAATATATCCTTACCCATCATCATAGGCCTAATAGGTAGCTCAGGAGGAGGGAATAATGCACCAACTATAATCAGTTTTCCTCCTGTCTTCAACAAGTCAGCTAATGGCTCAAGAGAGTGAGGCCCTGCAACTGTATCAATAATTCCGTCCAACGTATCCTTCCCCTCCTATATATATTCAGCAACCAATCATTTGATGACTGTGAGTGTGATTCACATTTACAAACTATATATTAAAAGGTGACCAACGTAGCTTAGAAATTATAACTACATATTAAGTTACGAACTATGATTACCTGCAATTGTTGTGGGTCGTTGCTGAGCAAGAAGACGTCAGCTCCAAGCCTCTCCAAGGCTTCCTTCTTCTTTCCAGGAGAAGTACTTATCACTGTCACCTTCATCTCCAGAGCCTTGGCAAACTTGACAGCCACGTGGCCAAGTCCTCCCAAGCCCACCACTCCCAAATGCTGACCGGGCTGACAGAGTCCGTGGAACTTCATGGGGCTGTATACAGTGATTCCAGCGCACAACAACGGTGCTGCACTGTCGAGTGGCATGCCTTGCGGAATTTTGATGGCGAAATGCTCATCAACCACAGTTTTATCAGAGTATCCACCTTGAGTTCTGGATCCATCGTAATCATAACCACTGTAGGTGAAAATCTTTTCGGGGCAATAACTTTCCCAGCCTTGACTGCAGTTAGAGCAAGAGCGGCATGAACCACAAATCGGCCCCACGCCAACAATATCACCAATTTTGAATTTGGTGACGCTACGGCCCACCTTGATGACTTCTCCGACGATCTCGTGCCTAAAGTCATGTCATTCATAAAAGAAGAAATACTGTTAAGCAAGAAGTTATATATGCACTACTCATCATTATATTGAAAATTGAAATGGTTTGTTATTTGAAGGATAGAATTTTTAAAAAGAGAAAGTTACCCGGCGACCATGGGATAGGTGGTGTGTCCCATTTCGTTGCGGAGAAAATGAACATCACCGTGGCAAATCCCACAATACAGGATTTTTAAGGTGATATCATGATCACCGTTCGCCCTGTATATAAATTAGAAAAACAATAGCTGTGAGGCTTGGGCATGCATAAACTAATCACGAAGACTTGCAGTAATTAGAAGCATAGATGAGGCAAACTATATGTGCGCGGGTGTGTGTAAGAAGAAGAAGAAACCTTCTGGAGAAGTGAAAAGGGGAAACGATGCCGGAGGAATCTGTAGCTGCTAACCCAAAGGCAGGTGTTTTGTGCACTTCTTGTGCTGGGATTGAGATTGGGTTGGCCATATTGTTTCGAACAGGTATATAGAGAGATGTATATGATGAGCAGAGACAGGAATTGAGTGGAGGATGTGTGTAAGTGTGTGATTGCGTCTTTGTATTTATAGGAGGGATAAAGAGAAGTTGAGAACTTGAGAAGAATATTCAATTTCGCAGCTTGAATTGACGACGAACTCCTTCTGAGTGAGGAGTGAAGACGAACTCCTCTCCGAGTAGACCGGGTCGCAGACGCCAAGAGGAAGAACGGGTTGGATGCTTCACTTGTTTGTCTAGGATTGAATGCTTTGTTGAAAATGAGAAGCATTCCGAAACTAAACCATGTTTTTGGCCAAAAAACCAAATCCATCTTTCAACGTTATAAAGTCGGTAGTTGGCCGAAAAAGATATAATTTAAAGCCGATCCACAAACATCATGTATCGAACAACAGTGTTTGCGGGCCAGATTCACCTAAGATTTTTTATTTTTAATTTAGCATTAAAAAATTAGGTCCACGGATGGGCGGAGACTCAGAAGAGATGGGAATGGCTGCAAAAAAAGCGTAGAACTACAGTTGGGGACTTGGGGGACCAAATTTTAATATTTTTAATTTACGATAAAAAAAAATAAAGCTTTTATAGAAATAACTAATGTTATGAGACTAAATGAAATAAACAACACAATATTTATTATGTTTTACATCATAATTAATTTATTATATTTATTAATGATATATCATTGTATATTAATAATAAACACTTTATAAATATTTAAATTTTTTAATAAATTTATTATATATTAATATGAACAAGCCATATTTTTAAATTTTTTAAAATTTGATCCATATTTTTTAAATATAATATTTTTTTGATTAATGACTTAATTTATCCTTAAAAAATGTACGTTCAGGTAAAAAGTTTTACGATCACAAATTATAAAATACCTTGGTAATGGTATGCGGATGCAAAAGGCCGATAGAAAAGTCAGTCAAACGAACAATCCATGGGCCATGGCCACATGGCCTTGATGATGTAGACCAAGAAAAGTATACGCAGGGCTGGGAAAAGAGCCAGGATTAAAAATATATGTGCTACGAAATTTTCATAAATTTTGAGAGCACTAGAAATATGTAACCTCTGTATAATAATTAAAAAAATAAATAAAAACTTTAGGGGATATGGCCTCTGCTGATTCCCCTCCCTCCACCCTTGAGTATTCAGATCCGAAAGCCCAACAGACAAAGCGGAATCATGGTGATCGTTGGAACCAATAATAGGGAGAAACATGCAAAAGATTGACAGCGTATGCTCCAGCTCTGCGATAGAGATGCATGTTACGTCAGTATGGAAATTCCTGGTGAACTTACCTGAGTAAACTAGTGAATTATTAAACAATTTTTTTTGACCAATTTAATAAAAATATTTTTTTTATAATTAGTCTGATCACAATTTAACTACATTTCATTTTGTGCTTTGACTAATTTAACTACGGCCCAATTTTCAATTGGGTCTCGATCGGGTCTTGTCAGAACATCAAAGGAACTTGGCATAACTTGATGCTACAAGGGCATGTTTGGATTAAGAAGACGACAACTGAGGCTAGGAATTAATCGAGGTAAGCAAACTAATGTTAGAAAAAATTATATGGCTGTAACATAATTCATGTTTAGATATCTTTTTTCAGAAATCGGTTGGACAAACTAATATTCATTTAGATGATTCAATTTAGAAGCCAGTTGAGATATATAATAATTCAATAGCTAATTAGTTATTTTCCTATAATTTTTTTTAAAATGATGATAAAATCTATTTAAATTATGTAAATGATAATATGATCCCTCAAAATATTATAATTTTACTGAAATTCTCAGAGATTTTGTGTCGATAAATTTTAAATTGAAAAGATTATTTTACTCTTACTGACAAGTTATAATTTTTTATTCAATTCTTATAATTTTTTGAATGAAATTTATTATTCTTTAAATAAAATTGTGATTAAAACTTGTTATTTTGAGAACTTATTTTTTAATAACCAAAATTACACTGAACAAGTTGTAATTTTTTATTTAACTCTTGTGATTCACATAATAAAATTTGTTATTCCTTAAGTAAATTATGATTGGAGCTTATTATTTTGAGACAAAAAAATTATACTTGATAAGTTGTAATTTTTTGTCCAATTCTTATGATTCATAGAACAAAAATTGTTAACCTTTAAGAAAAAATTGTGCTTGGGGTTTTTTATTTTTGATAAGAATAAAATAATTTTTTTTATTTTAAAATTTATTAACTCAGACATCTTTAAGAATTTCAGTGAAATTATAATATTTTAAAAGATCAAATTGTTAATTATATAATTTGGAGGGGTTTTCTTTTCCTTCAAAACTTCATCCACTAACGCTTAATAAATATAAAAAGATATACTTATTCATCTAATGTGATATTCTGCCACCATATTATCCATGGATGTGTACTCCGTTATTTTATAATATTCTTCATCTTTCTTTTTTAATTTAGATATGTTATTAGTAAGAATGTTTTATAGCTAGTGCTCCATCAATCTTACATTAATTTCTTTATAGACAAAACATAACATATGGATACAATACATAGAGTTCCTTTATGCCATTCTTTTCTAGTTATTTATAGCATCACAAATACGATAATGATCATGGATAAAAATACAACGTAACAATGAAGTTTAAAATGAAATACAACGGCCATGCAATGACACTCAACACACAATAAGCAAAAGTTGAAACATCTGAGCCTCCCTAACCCTAGAATTAATTAATCAGTATAATTATAAAAAAAAAAGAAATAATAGATATAATATTTGTCTCTCTATTGTTGGAATCAATTTTTCTTCGTATGAAGTGCTCTGGATTGGATCTCTCCACGTCGTTCCCTCCTCGCTTTCTCTTGCCCTCACATGAAATGGGCCCCGCCCACAGGAGGGAGGGCCAGTCGGTTGGAGATGACACTTTCGTTGTCAATTTCTAGTCAAGAAGAGAGACCTTATGGAGGGTGTTGGCCACGTCAATCACAAAACGATACTTGACATCGTTCTTGGCGACTCGCTCTAAAGCAGTGTTCACGTAATCCATCGGAATCACTTCAATGTCTGCTGTTATATTGTGCTTCGCTGCCAAATCAATCATCTCTTGTGTCTCTCCCATTCCTCCAGCAGCACTTCCAGCAATCATCTTTCTCCCTGTATGCACAGCACATACATACATACATATTCTATCACCTTCATCGAAGCCTACAAATATTTAAAAGGAATTAACTAAGCTGTACGAAGTATAAACTTACCCATCATCAAAGGCATAGTGGGTAATTCTGGAGGAGTAATTGATGCACCAACTGTAATTAACTTTCCTCCTGTCTTCAACAAGTCAACTAATGGGTAAAGAGAGTGAGGCCCTGCAACCGTATCAATAATCCCGTCCAACGTATCCTTCCCCGCCTATATATATATATATATATATATATTCAACAACCAATCAGTTGATGACTGTGATTCATTCACAAGCTATGAAAAAAGGTGACCAACGTAACTATTTATAATTACATATGAAGTTACGGACTGTGATTACCTGCAATTGTTGTGGGTCGTTACTTAGCAAGAAAGCGTCGGCTCCAAGGCTTTCCAAGGCTTCCTTCTTCTTTCCAGGAGAAGTACTTATCACTGTCACCTTCATCTTCAAAGCCTTGGCAAACTTGACAGCCACGTGGCCGAGTCCGCCTAAGCCCACCACACCCAGATGCTGACCTGGCTGACACAGTCCATGGAACTTCATGGGGCTGTATACTGTGATTCCAGCGCACAACAACGGGGCTGCACCGTCGAGCGGCAAGCCTTTTGGAATTTTGATGGCGAAATGCTCATCGACCACAGTTTTATCAGAGTATCCACCTTGAGTTAAAGATCCATCGTGGTCATATGCATTATAGGTGAAAATCTTTTTGGGGCAGTAACTTTCCCAGCCTTGATTGCAGTTAGAGCAAGATCGACATGAACCACAAATCGGCCCCACGCCAGCAATATCACCAGCTTTGAATTTGGTGACACCGTGACCCACCTTGATCACTTCTCCGACAATCTCGTGCCTAAAGTCGTCCCATTCATAAAAGAAGAAATAGTAGTAGTTAGCATGAATAGAAGTAATTACATGCGGACTAACTCAACTTTTGAAATGGTTTATTATTTGAAGGATAGAGATTTGTTAAAGGGAAAGTTACCCGGCGACCATGGGGTAGGTGCTGTGTCCCAATTCGTTCCTGAGAAAATGAACATCACCGTGGCAAATCCCACAATACAGGATTTTTAAGGTTATATCGTGATCACCATTTGCCCTGTGTATAAATTAGAGAAATAATGATAGCTGTGAGGCTTGGGCATGCATAAACTAGCTAAACGTTGACTTGCAGTAATTAAAAGCATGTATACATAGATGAGGCAAACTATTTGTGTGCGTGTGTGTGTTAAGAAGAAGAAGAAACCTTCTGGAGAAGTGAAAAGGGGAAACGATGCCGGAGGAATCTGTAGCGGCTAACCCAAAGGCAGGTGTTTTGTCCATTTCTTGTGCTGAGATTGGGATTGGGTTGTCGTTGATGTAAACAATGAGCAGAGTCAGGAATTGAGTGGAGGATGTGTGTGTGTAATTGCGTGTTTTGTATTTATAGGAGTAATAAAGGGAACTTGAGAAGAATATTCAATTCAATTACGTCATTGAATTCGAAACAAGAATGTAAAGGTTGAATGCATCGCAAAGTCGCAGTGCAGTCACGAGACTAACCACGTTTCATTAGATAAGAAACAAGAGAATATTCAATTTAGCAGTTTAATTTGACAATCACCGAGCTCGTCATTAAATCCGTAAATCGCAATGCATGACGACACCCACCACAAAAAAGGGCTGACCGAAAAAAAGGGCTGTATTATGAATATAACCTTTTCATCTAATTCTCCCTATGCCCAACGTGCTAATTATCTCTTTATTTATCATTATCATTTATGCAATCATTAATATAAGATCATATTTATAAATAAGGCATGTTATTTATATTGAAAGGTACAACAATCCATAAAAAATTCTCTTATTCACAGGCAGTGATTTTTGCTCATATTTATAGGAATTAAGAAAAAAAATTAATACTTTAATTCTGTCTAAAAAATAAAGATGTTCCTTATTTTGTCCATTTTAAATACATCTTTTAAAAAAGTTTCCTATTTTTATGCATTAATATTGAATGGGGGTAAAAATGCAAAAAATATACAGCAAGAACAGGAGTAGCAATAGGAGGAAGAGGAGGAGTAGCAACAGTCATAGTAGTAGCAACAGCAGCGGCTGCGGCGGAAGAAAAAGATGGCTGTTATGTATAATATTAATTTTACAAAATTCATAGTGCAGAAGCCTTTCAAGGAGTTAAATTCTTCATATTTGTTTGCTTCTTTGCTCTGAGCTACAATTCCTTATTATATTTAGGGAGAATTAAACTGTAGGTTTTTTATTTTGAATTTGGTTATTGTAATTTATTTTGTTTTAATCAAGTCCTTATGATCTCATTTATTAAATATGCTGATATCTAAATATTAACATTATTAATAAATAATTAAATTTTTTGAAATAAAAACTCTTTTTATGAAAAAATTGATCTATATTTTGACCAAAAAAGGAAAAGTAAAATTTAATTTAATTTAGTATAATACAATTTTTATATTTTTATTAATTTTTTATGTAAAAATTCTATATGTATTAAAATAATTTAGAAGATATAACTTAATTGTATGGTTTATTAAAATTGTATAACTAAATCATAAAATTATATAATATTTTAAGAAAAATATAAGTTCTTAATTTTATTTTTTAAAGGAAAACATTGAAGAAATTTAACTTTCAGAAATTAATATATTTAATCGATCAAATTATAAGGGTTTAATTAAAATAAAATAAATTATAAAAACTTAAATTTAAATTAAGAAAAAATTATAAGAACCCACAAGTTAATTTTTAGTTATATTTATTATCCGGAATCCACCTTCTTTTTGATAGTCATAGCATATGGTAAGGATGGTGGCGCCATCAATTATTGAAACAATAGAAAAATGTTTAATGTCTTTTTTGTTTGAACTTTGAAATATGAAACTAAAATTGGGAGAATGACACATAAGTACCATGAAAGGAAATTAATCATTTTAAAGGACAATAAAATTTTGAAATTGCATAGACGGACCAACGTTAAAAAGTAAATTGATGAAAATGCCAACGTAGAATTGACACATAATCCAATTGCAAATTGTGGAATTAATATCAGTTGTAAATGAGTTATGAATTGGAAAATTTTCAACTGAAGATTAAGAATGTGACTTAATTATTAGTGAATCTTAAAATAATTTAAAACTTCAGTTTAGTCTAGAAGGATTAAAGTAAAAATAATTTTAATAATAAAAATATCAAAGTACTCTTCACTTGTTAATTTTATTTAAGATGTAGAATTATTAATTGTTAATATTCTTACTTCACTTGTTAATTTATTAATATGAGACAAGACTTGACATCAATTGTTAAATTTCAAGTAGCAACATTAGTTGTTAAATTGCTAACTTTACTTGTAAATTATTGACAGGTTTTATAATTTACAACTGATATTAGTGAATTAATAAATAAAGTTAATAAATTAATAACTGATGTTGTTACTAAGTAAAATAAAAAAATTAACAATTAATAATTCTACATGTCGGATAAAATTAATAAGTGAAAGGTATTTTAATTTTTTGATTATTAAAATTATTTTCATTTCAATCTTCCTAAATTGAACTAAAATTTTAGCATTTTTTTGAGAGCCATTAGTAATTAAGTCATATCCTAGTCAGTTATAATTAACTGTGAAAGTTTGGCAAATAATATAATATTAGAAGTGAAATATAAATTGAAAATTATGAATTCAATCTAAACACTTGAAGAATTTTGATTTTCATAACTAAACTTTTAAAATTTACATGTGATTTGTAATTAATCATCCGCTATTTATAGCTGTGCTTCTAACGTTTACAATTAAAGTTTTAGGATTTACAAAGCATTCACGATTATTTATAACTTATGTGCAACAGATTTTTCAACATTCGCGACTAATTAGTTTTTATCAATTATATAATTACTATTTACTAGTACGTTCTTGTGCATTTATATATATATATTTTAAAAGTCTTATTCGCTCTTTATAATTTTAAATTCATGATCCTTTATAATAGTTAATCTTTTTGTTCTTCGCGCGCTCATTCTCCTAATATAATTTGGCTGTCACAAAATTAAAGTCGCAGCCTGATCCCCTGAGTCGCTACTTTTAGTTTCACCTGCTCCTCGACCGCGAAGCAGGCAGGGCTCAATCAATTAGGGCCACATTCGTTTATTTAATTTTGAGTCAATTTATTTTCATTATTTTTTGTCAACTTTAACTCTAAATCATTTTTAAAAAAATTATATCATCGCTTAGTTTTTTGACCGAACCTAAATACATTTTTGATTTTCCATCACATCACACAATGCAAAAAATACATTATTTATGACATATAAATAGGGATATTATATCTGGATGGACGGGGAATACAGTCAAGGCTTGAAATTTCAATGTTTCTTTTGAATAAAGGTAGCAAGCCGAAGCCCGAGGAGGGTTCAGAAATTTCAATGTTTCAAAAGTGTTTTTGGAAAATAATGACAAACTCGTTGCTTGATTGCTACTCAACCCAACTTTCAAGTTGGCCCAATAAGTTGCAGTTTGAAAGTGAGGTCCTCAATATTATTCAGTCAAAGCGCCAAGCACCATCAAATAATTTCCTCTTCGCGCCTTTCTACCCGAAAACTGATTACTGTTTATAGTTTTGACTTTATAGCCAATTGATAAAGCTGTTATTTATAAGCCAGAGAAGGAGAAGAAGAGTTCTTATTTTGCTTATATTATAATATCTATTTTTATTTTTTAATTCTTATTAAATATTACAATGGTTACTGGTATTTTATTTTAAAGTATGATTATTTAATAGGAATAAAGTTAAAAATTTATAAAATTTTTAGAAAAAATTAAAGAAATTTAAGATTTTTAAGGATCAGGTTAAAATATTAAAAGCCATTTATAAATGGAAAGAGATTCCAGTGGATTTCACACCTTATTTAGAAACTAAATCTTAATTCCTTCGTTTTTTTTAATAGATGTCAACACTTAACACTTTCAAACAGTAGTTAATGGAAAGAAAAGAATCTGCAGATATATTTCCCAATATTAAAGTATAAATATTTTAATAAAATATTTTTTTTAAATTTTTTTGACGGTGGGAATGACAGGAGAAAAATTTACAACTTGCGGGAAAGTGATAATTCCAAATCTTTGTTAATTTGTTATGTCGTTCACTCATTCTTGTGCAATCTGCAAACTGAAAAGTATGAGAGGAGAAAAATCTGTAACTCCAAAAAGGAAGTGATCATTCAACAAGTTGCCTATTTTGTTCTTTTGAAAGCTGAAAAGTATGAGAGGAGAAAAATCTATAACTTGCGGGAAAGGTCAACACATATGTATATATAGGGTCCCCTCATCAATTCGATCCAACACGAATAGCTGATCCGTTTTTTCAAACTATATATTCTAATTCACTCCGATAACACAGAAGAGCACATCCATGTCCAACGTTATGGCAGCAGAACAACAGGGATCTTATAAAGTGGATGCCTTTGGCTGGGCAGCTAGAGACGCTTCAGGAATTCTCTCACCCTTCCACTTTACCAGAAGGTAAATAATATGTTCTTCGAATAATTTGATCATCATCTTTATCCCCGTCAAAGCCCTGCCTCGTCACTACTGATAAATTTTTCTGCTGTTGAACGAACAGGACAAATGGCGAACACGATATCACCGTCAAGATTCTCTATTGTGGGATTTGCCATAGCGACCTTCACTTTCTCAAGGATGACATCGGCATCACCATTTATCCTGTTGTTCCTGGGTACTTCCTTCCCTCAGCCTCAGCCTCATATTTTCACAACTATCGTTGGGTTTTATAACTATCTCAATTTCTAATATATATTCTCTCTCTCTGGTTCAAGTTCAGGCACGAGATTGTAGGCGAAGTGATAGAAGTGGGTCGTGGTGTCTCAAAATTTAAGGTCGGTGACATAGCTGGCGTGACTGGCCTTTGGGGTTCGTGTGGCTCGTGCTCTGAGTGCACACTGGGTCTTGAAGTCTATTGTCCAAAATTAATCTTAACCTACAGTGCACGAGACCATGACGGATCGGTAACCCAAGGTGGCTACTCCGATAAGATTGTGGTGGACCAACACTTCGCTATTGCAATTCCAAGAACTTTGCCACTAGAAGGCACGGCCCCCTTGCTCTGTGCCGGAATCACAGTATACAGCCCCATGAAGAGTCATGGACTGGATCGTCCTGGTTTGCATTTGGGAGTGGTGGGGCTCGGTGGACTTGGCCACGTCGCAGTGAAGTTCGCCAAGCTTTTGACATGAAAGTTACAGTGATAAGCACTTCTCCTAACAAGAAGAAGGAAGCATTGGAACGTCTCGGCGCTGATGCCTTCTTGATCAGCAAGGAGCAACAACAATTGCAGGCGACTAACTAATTAAATATCAAATAAACTAGCCGTTTCCATTACTTGATCTCTGTGTAATAATCTTTGTGGGGCTGCTGTTTAGGATGCTACGGGCACAATGGACGGAATAATCGACACGGTTTCAGGGCCTCACTCGATCTTGCCATTAATTGGTTTGCTGAAGACACATGGGAAGCTTATTCTGGTGGGCGCACCGTCCACGCCACTTGAGTTCTCGGCCATGCCTTTACTTATGGGTAAGTAAGATAGTTTTGATTTAGATGCAGTAATTAAGTGGATCAGTGATGCTGCTTCTGTATGTAGTTACTTGGAAGCTTTAGGAAGGACTTTGATTCATTGAATGATGTGGTTGGTGACAGGGGGGAAGACAATAAGTGGGAGTGCAGGAGGAGGGATGAAAGAGGTGCAAGAGATGGTGGATTTAGCAGCAAAGCACAATATTAGTGCCGACGTGGAGGTGATTCCAATGGAATATGTCAACACCGCCTTACAGCGACTCGCAAACAATGATGTTAAGTACCGATTCGTCATCGACGTTGGAAACACCATTAACTCTCCGATTACAGATTGATGTTCTGCTAAAATTTTGTATTGTCGCGTATTTGATTTCTCATAGTGGACTTTTGTTTTTTTCTCTTGTGTTCCAATAAACAAAGCCATCCTCTGTACATGCACGTACGTGGGATATGCAAAAATTGCCAAACGAGCTTTCGCATTATATATTCATTTGCACCAAACAACCACCTCTTGCATCACTCCCTTTCCTAACAACACCGCCAATCAGTTCCCATCAGATGTCAATTATTTGTATTAACCTCCAGTTCACTTACTTCCGAGCCCCTTTTTTTTTAAAAAAAAAAATAATGGCCAAGTTTTTAATGTCACGAAAAAGTTTTTAAATTAGATCAGCTCCTTAAGGTTAGAGTATACTCAAAAAATATTATAAAATACTTATAAATAACTCATCAACAAAATTTTTATATTGACAATAAAATTTTTAATTCTATAAGTTTTGAGTTATGATCACATTCTTAACAATCGAACTAACATTTATTAGTAAAAAGGGCTAAGTTGAATCTCAAGGACATTTCGGCCGACGAAGATGCTGGCACTTTGTTGTTAGGCCGATCCATTTGATGGCCCATCGTGATCATTGGATTACTGCCATGTCTCCGTCAGATTCCCAGCTTGGGCAACAAGACATGCATTCAAAGGAAAAAATATTAAAAAAACAAAAAAAAAAAAGCGCGCATCCAAAAGGGCTAGCCCACTTTGTGGATCGTCTCTAATAGAGTCCATTTCATTTTCTAAAAAAAAAAATATGAAAAAGTACAATAAAGAAAATCAATATGTCATTACAAAAAATCAGAGCAAGCCGTGATATTAATGATTAATAAATCAAGAACAATATAACTTAGTTATCATACTCTGTGCATTGCACAAGGCTTGCATCTGGTTCCAATCTAAACTTAAGCTAGATTGTTCAAGACTTAAGCTACTTGAATGATAAAAATGTAAGTTCAAAACTTTAAGCTATCGATATACAATAATAGCATAAATCAATGTAAAATATACATTTGTAACTGGATACACTATTTACAAATAATAGGACTGTTTTTCAAAGTTTGTATAAAATGCAGGACAGTGGGATCTTGAATAAAAGAAATTCCAATCAATTTTTTCTGCCACTAATTTATACATATTTGTATCGGCGTTTTCATGAATTGCAAAACATCTATTTAAAGAAAGAAAACTCTAACAAAATCAAATCCTAGTATCCCAGTATTTGGCTCTTTGGCTCCGAGTGCTACTGCTCGATCGGCAACAAGACTCGCCTGGGTCAAGAAGTGCAAATGACTGCATCGAAGCTATCCCTTTTACTAGGTTACTTTCCCATTAATTATTTGTTCATTCTTTGTTCCCAAATAATAATCAATAATTTTCATTTCTCAATTTTTTTAAATGATCCTTTTTTACTGCTTCAAAAGAGTTTGAATTCATAGGATGTGTTTGGATTTCAATTGAGAAAATTGATCATGAAAAAAATTAATTAGCAAAATGTGATGTTATTTGAATAAAATTTTGTAAAATTGATTTTGAGAAATCAATTTACCAAATAGAATAAAAATTAACTTTCACAAAATGGAGTTTTAGAGCCTGTTTGTTTAAGATTAAACAATAAATAATTTTTAGATAGTTTAAAAATTTCTTAAAAAATAGATATTATTCTGTTTGATTACAACAATAAAAAGTGATTATTAGTTAGTTATCTTTAAATTTTATGATATTTTTTTAATTTTTATTTTACAAAAATAATTTATTATTACATTATTTTAACATGTTATAATATCTTTGCATATTTTGTATTTTTAAAATATTCTCTTTCATTTACTGTATTAGATTATTTTCAGAAGTTAATCAAAGTAACTTCTTAAAATAATTAAAAATCTATTTTTTTTAGATTCTGATTGTTTTCAAAAATTTAAACAGACATAATAAAAACTTGTAAAATAATTTTTTAAAAAAATAAGCATTTTTTATGAAATAAACTAAAATAAACAGCCTTTAGTAATTAAATGAAGTTTTAAAAAATTGTGAATGTTTGGTTAGCTTCTACAAAGCTAATTTCCAGAAGCCAAATAAAGTCTGAAAAAATCGACAGTGTCTGGATAGCCATAATTCTAAACCTCATAACTGATTCCAGAAGTATCCAAACAGGCACATGGTATAATCTAAATTAGCCCATCAACAGCCGCCATTTTCAATGACCTCTCTTTAGAGTTCGGCAACCTTCAAGTGGTTTACAGAAAATGATTGGAGCATAAAGCGACTAGAAACTAGAGTCGTTTAGCATCTCATTTCTTGGATTTTCTTCTTCTGACTCCAGAAAGTTTTTCCTTTCTTTCCTATTCAAAGAAAGGTCCTTTTCCGCCGAGAAAATATAGAATTTTTTGGCCAGCCAAAGACTATAGAATGAATACTTGCTTTTCCCATTATACGATTAATTACGATTTTCTTAAATTTTTTTTATAGATTTTGTATTTAAAACGTTCACTATTTTATTTTAAGTGAACCTAGACAGCCCGGTCTCTTTCAATTTTTTTCGCCCTCTTCGAAATTTAAGTTTTTTTAAGTATGAACTTTAAGTTCTTATCATTCAAATAGAACGTAGCTTTAATATTTTGCATAGAACTTGAATCGAGTAATATACTATTTATAAGGTATAAATAATAGCCTACAAGTTTTTTTGTTGTAATATATATAGATTCCACTTGATTAATTATATCAACGATTAACAACATAAAATATCCTGTTTACACCAAAAAAAATAAAAAGTACCCGATATATATCTATTACGGTTATGCTCCCATTGACATTTTCAACAACCAGATCTGCATGGCTAGCAGCCTAGCATGCAAGTCTGGTTTTCCAATATACTGACAAACTCTGAAACACAGCTATCCCCAAATCCAGAATCACTCTAAATCATCCTAGCTAAACCAAACAATCCAACGGGGTGATATAATAATGTTTCACCCCAAAAGTAACCGACCCTAAATTGCCAACTCAAACTCCCCTGCCTTTATAACCAGAAATCCGAATATAGTGCGAAATTAAGAGCTTGGTTTCAATGTGTTCCCAATGTCGATGACAAATCGATGCTTCACATCTGCTTTCGCGAGACGCTCCATTGCCTTGTTCACGTAATCAATTGGAACAACCTCAATGTCAGGCTTAACATTGTGCTTCGCAGCAAAATCAATCATTTCTTGCGTCTCCTTCATCCCTCCAATGCAACTCCCAGCAACTAACTTTCTCCCTGCAAAAATTGAGGAGTGCTGGCTAGCATCATTTTTCTATTTCAATCATAAAAAGACTAATCGGTGATGCTCACGAAAACAATCTAGTGCACCATAAAGTGAGGGTCCTCTCAGGTTCAGTTATAAAGCACGCAAGAGGTTATTATTAAATATAAGCCGTGACAACTAGAGAAGATGGACTTTTTATGTGCTTTGCTTACCCAGAAGTAAAGAAAAGACTGGGAGTTCCAGAGGCTTCTCTGGGGCACCGACCATAACAAGTTTCCCATGAGATTTCAACAGGCCAATCAGAGGCATGAGAGGATGGACAGCAGACACAGTGTCAATTATACCATCAAAGGTACCCATTACAGCCTACATTAATTAGAAGAACATTAGAAGCTGATCGTATGGTTCTCAGATGCAGGCACAATAAATTCAAGCTAAAGAAACAGATTTCTGACAGGTACCTGCATCTGATCTTGCTCCCGGCTGACCACAAAGGAGTCGGCTCCGAGGTTTTTTATTGCTTCCTCCTTCTTATTTGGTGATGTACTGATAACTGTCACCTTAGCACCAAAGGTTTTGGCAAACTTCACAGCCATGTGGCCTAAACCACCGAGACCAACCACACCAACATGTAAACCAGGCCTGTCTAGTCCAAAATATCTCAAAGGACTATACACAGTGATCCCAGCACAAAGGAGAGGAGCAGCAGCATCAAGAGGAAGGCTGTCTGGAATGCGGACTACAAAGTGCTCATCTGCCACCATCAAGTCAGAGTAGCCTCCATATGTGATGGTACCGTCCACATGCTTGGCACCATATGTGAGAATTATTTTTGGGCAGTAATTTTCAAGATTGTCAACACAGTTTGGGCATGAGAGACATGAACCAACCATGCATCCCACACCTACCCTGTCTCCAACCTTGAAATTTTCAACCTTGCTTCCCACCTCTGTTACTTCACCAACAATTTCATGCCTGAATTTGACATACCAGTAAGAATCATATGTATTTAGTATCAATCAGTACACTTCGCATGGAGATCGCACGAAACAGCGGTGAAGAGTAAAACAACCGTGTTTGCCGATCTAGTTTTACATAATATGTTGATTGATCATTAACCTTATGTCCCAATAACCCATCCCTAACAAGTTTATATTGACAGATAAAGCACAACTTTGACTAAACTATAGGAAATAATAAGGTATTCAGATCATCGTTGAGATACCATTTTCCAGTGAGAAATAAGAATGTTTTGAGAAACAGAGGTGTTCTGATTCTCTGTTAGCATCGAAACAGTGATAGAAAAATTTAACCCCAAAACGAAATATTATCAAGACTGACTCTACCACAGACTCACAGTGTCAGTCATGTTCGTGGATGGAAGATTCTAGCAAGAGCGTACACAGTGAGCCTTGTGTATTATGTACGCTGGTTCCTTCGTTTTCAATAAAGGGAGTGGAAGACACAGGGAGTTCCTTCCTGACTTTTCCGGTCAAATCGGCTTCCAAATTATTATTATTTTATTGGCAACGAGACAATATCACAGTAATGACATTTAAATATAGTCCGTCATTTCTTTAGCCATTAAACTAATCAAACATGCACGGAAAGCGTATGATAACTATCGTCTATCCAGGATCACAATCATAAGCAGCCACACAATTAAAATAATGCCGATTTAGGCCAAAATATACCCGGGTACAAGAGGATAGATGGAATTTCCCCACTCATTCTTAATCATGTGGAGGTCTGAGTGGCAAATCCCGCAGTATAACACTTTGAACGTCACATCTTTCTCTCCCGTTTCCCTGCAAAAACAGTTCAGCACCGGTTTTAAATTCGGATGAGCAGCGAGCTACATTTTACATTTAACATCCACGACAACAACGAAAGATCCCTAATCATTAAAGGATCTAGCTCATCTTGATCTTTTAGCATCCAAAAGGAGGGGGAAGATGAAACATCCGAAGAATCCTTGAGAGAGAACTCATATTCTACAGAAACTAAAAGAGTCAAGCCGAACGCGGTATCGAATCACGAGAAGGCAAATACAGGAAAGCAAGGTATGAATGAAGGAAGCTAGGAACCTTCGAGAAAACTTGAAGGGAGAGAGAACCCCAGAAGTATCCCTAGCAGCCCATCCGAAAGCCTTCCTGGGATGCTCCATCTCTGGTTGTGAAGCCATTTGAATCTGATTGAAATGACTCGCAAAGAAACGGAAAGCAAGAATGCAGAGACTGAGTACAAATGATAAAGAGAGTCCAGTACGTTTCGCAATGGAACCGCGACGACGCAGAGAGGACGTGGGCGCATGCGCACCCTCCTTTTACAGCGTTTTCGCCTTCTAGATGATTCCGGCACCCGAAAGTAGTAGAAATCACGCGCCAGTGCGTGCTCTAATTTACCGTCACATTGCCTAAAAAACAGAATTACTCTCTCCATCTTTATTTATAAATCACTTTTGATATATTTTATCAAAATCTAAAAAAAATAATAAAAATTCGTATTTTTAATTTTTAATAAATATTTTTAAATTTTATTATTAATATTTTTATTTAAAATATTTAATAAAAGTAAAAATATAAAGAGAAACATTAAAAATTAATAAGTATTCTATAAATAAAATTAATTTTTTTTCTCTTTTATATAAATAGGACTAGATGAGTATATATATATTTAAAATGAAATTGTGAGAACACAAGTAAATTCTCAATTTTTGCATATATTAATAAGAAAATTTCGCTAAAAACCCTCTGACTACATTTAATAAAAAAGAAGACTCTAAAAATATTGATATATCACTGCATGATAGAGGCATTGACTTGAGATTAAATTTTATAGTCAAATGATAATATTAGCCCTCATTGTAAAGAACGAAAAAAAAAAGTTTTGTTAGCTCAACCACAATGCATATGTGTTGTAAATATGTCAAAAATCAGCAACACCTCTATTTTAGATTTGAATTAACACCTCCATTTCAGACCTGAATTAATAGAATTTTCTTTAAACGAGTACTCAAGGAAATTCTCGTCTCACTCATCATCGTCTGCATATTTGATAAGCACGAATGACACACTTAAGCTTCCTAAACTCTCAAGTCTAAAGATTAGCGACACCTCCATCATTGGAATTCCTATCTAAGAATATCCCTTGACTGAGTCACCAACCATTGGGTGCTACCTCTGACGTTGTAACTTCTTTTGGTCGGCGTTGTTCTTCCTTTAATTAAATATTAAATGAATACTTGAAAAGCAATCAATATTGTAACGAACAAATGTGGTAAGGAAATTAACAATTGTTGTAAGGTAATTAACCACACATACTAAGACAATGAACAAGTCATTCAAATATGAAACCATACCGGTATAACCATATTTTATTAGTATGTTTTACTTGGAATTCTTTCAAAAACATACCGGTGTATTAGAGAAATATCGGTATATTATAGACATATCGATATATTTTTCTTAAAATTCTTTCGTGTTGTAACTCGTAACGAACAAGTTCAGTAAGAAAATGAACAACTATTGTAAGGTAATTAACCACACGCATTAAGGCAACGAACAAGTTATCAAAATATGAAACCATACCGGCATATTAGAGGCACACCATTATGTTTTACTTGGAATTCTTTCAAAAACATACAGGTATATTATAGATTTACCAATATATTCCTTGAAATTCTTCCGTGTCGTAACTTATAACGAACAAGTTCAATAAGAAAATAAACAACTATTATAAGGTAACTAACCACATACATTAAGGTAACGAACAAATCATCCAAACATGAAATTATGTTAGTATATTAGAGACATACTGGTATGTTTTATTTGAAATTCTTTCAAAAACATACCGGTATGTTTTCATTGGAATTCTTTTATGTCGTAACTCGTAACAAACAAGTTTAGTAAGGAAATGAATAATTGTTATAGGGTAATTAACTACACATATTAAGGCAACAAATAAGTTATCCAAAAATGAAATAATACTGATATATCATAGACATACCTGCATGACATGTATGTTTTCTCTATCATTTTTTCACACATTACCTACAATATTTTTCCATCAAATAATTCTCGTGCAAGAACTCCGACGATAGAGATGTCACTTTCAAATGCCGTAGTTTGAGTCCTAAAGAGATTCAAATCTCTATTCATATTTTTTGTATTTTAAGATTTGTGATTATGATAAATAATCATCACTTGTAATTAAATATATATGATAGTTGATCATTTAGTTTAAGTCTTGAAAGTCGACAGAGGTCTCGCTGATCTTTAAATGCCCTAGTTCATGTCTTGAAGAGATTCATCTCCGGCAACAAAGGTGTTTGTCATCTTCAGTATCACTACAAGCGTCGTCAGTTTTCTTGATCTACATTCATCTTTTTTTCTTTCAACGAGAGGCAATATTGACATTTAGTCATGAAATTTAATCTCAAATTAGTGCCTTGCTTGTAGTGATATATTAGTATTCTTGATGTCTTCTTTTTTATTCAGTGCTGTCAAAGGGTTTTTAGCAAAATTTTCCCCATATTAATTGATTTTTGGGAGGCAGGCAAGTGGGTGGATTAAAATTCGAGAGAAATTATTTTCAATTAAATTTTTCCCATGTTAATTGATTTTTGGGAGGCAGGCAAGTGGGTGGATTAAAATTCGAGAGAAATCATTTTCAATTAAATTTTTTCCATATTAATTGATTTTTGGGAGGTAGGCAAGTGGGTGGATTAAAATTCGAGAGAAATCATTTTTAATTAAATTTTTTTCATATTAATTGATTTTTGAGAGGCAGGCAAGTGGGTGGATTAAAATTCAAGAGAAATCATTTTCAATTAAATTTTTTTCATATTAATTGATTTTTGGGAGGCAGGAGTGGGTGGATTAAAATTCGAGAGCAATCATTTTCAATGCAAATGTTTGAAAGCGTACCCTCCTATTCCATAAAGACTAGAGAAATTTCTTCGGCCCTCTTGCTCTTATTCCTGTTCATCATATTCGTACTTACTCACCAAAGAAGCCCAGTACCAGAATTAAAACGTGGGTAATTTTAATCATTGAACATCAAGAGCTTGTTCGTATGGGGTAAAAAATAATTACGTTTGAAAAATATTTTTAATCATTGAAATAGCTTTAAGATTAATCGGTTTCAAAGTAACTGTTAGAATATTATATTTTAATCATATCTTGCTGCTGCTGCTGCGGGGTCATCAGCGCTGCGCCGCTGCGTTTGTGGCTATGGCTTTTATGATTTGCGTTATTTCTTTGTTTTGTTCGTGCAATAGTGCTGTCCGGATTGTCAGGTTTGTTTGGTGGAGTGTCATCTTTTTGTCTAAAGATGAGAAGCAAGTACCAAGAATTTGTCAGCTTTCGCAAATTTGTATCCGGATTGGATTCGCAACATCAGCTGATTGATCACTGTCCAGTGACATTATTTCACGTCTTTGATCGAAGAATTTAAATCCTCGATGAATAAAAATATGAAAATAATATAATAAAATTAGCACTGTGATTATTGATTGATTATGTCAATCATTCCATTTTCATTTCACAACTCGTGTTAAATGTGCCGGCTCTTCAACTACGTTTTAATTGCATTTCATTCGGGGGGAAGGGCGGGACTTTCCGGCCGTTTGGCCCATCTAGTATGTTGAGCACATTAATATTAAAAATATGTTCTAATTATTATTTAAAAAAAAATAAATTGGCTCATTGATTTAAAAAATCTTATATCAAAAAAATATGGATCAAATTTTTTAAAATTTGAAAATATAATCAGTTTACATTGATATATAAGAGATTTATTATTAATATATATAATAGGTTTATTATTAAAAATTTACAAAGAATTTATTATTATTATACAATGAAATACAATAAATTGGCTGCAATACAAAATATAATAAATATTAAATTATTTGCTTGATTTGATCATATGATATAAGTTATATTTATAAAAGCTCATAAAAAAAAACATGTTAGGGGCTTTTTTATGGTACAAACAGCAAGTTAATGCTTGCGCCTAATTTAGACCAAGTCTATCAATTAAGAGCATATCCACACACAAAGCAGCACAATCATGTCGAATCTACAAGTCATTTCCTCGCCTGTAAGCTTGTCTTGTGTTTAAGTCCATACATCTATTGAGTTAGGGTCAGGGGCTTCTAATATACTTTTCTCTAATATCTCTTATAATGTCCCAACATTTTAATTTTATTTTTTATTTTTCTTTGGATCATTGGCTTTTATATAAAATAAAAAACATTTGGATATCTTGATATTTTAAAATGGTGAAGATTTATATTTTTTATGATTTTTCAAAAATAAAAGGGTGTATTTATGATATTTTTCTTTAAAAAATCATAAAAAATATGAATCTTCACTATTTTAAGACATCAAAATATTCAAATGTCTCTTATTTTATATAGAAGCTAATGATTTAAAAAAAATAAAAAATAAAATTGAGAAGTTGGGACATTACAAGAGGCATTAGAGAAGGGCACGTTAGAGGCCCTTAGCCTATTGAGTTGGGCTAGGGGCCTCTAATGTGCCCTTCTCTAATGCCCCTTGTAATGTCCCAACATCTCAATTTTGTTCTTAATTCACTGAAGTTCTTAAAAATTTTTCTGTCAATAAATTTTAAAGTGAAAAGATCATTTTACTCTTATTAAAATTGAGATTGTGGTTTGTTACTTTGAGAACTTATTTTTCAAAAACAAATATTATATTTGACAAGTTGTGATTTCTTATTCAACTCTTGTAATTTGCAAAATAAAAATTATTATTTCTCAAGTAAAAGTTGATTGGGGCTTGTTTTTCAATAACAAAAATTACACTTGATAAGTTGTGATTTCTTGTTTAACTCTTGTGATTCATAGAATGAAAATTATTATTCTTTAAACAAAAGTTGTGATTAGAGTTTATAATTTTTGATAAGGGTAAAAATGATCTTTTTACTTTAAAAATTATTGACAGAGAAGTCCTTAGAAACTTCAGTTAAATTATGGCATTTGAAGAATTAGATTGTCATTTATATAATTTTGAGGGATTTTATTGTCATTTTTCCTTATCATAATAAGAATAATAATAATAATTATTATTATTACTATTATAATAATAATAATAATAATAATAATAATAATAATAATGTTCTACCATTGAATTTATTTTCAAAAATCTAGTTTTGCCTTTGTGACTGTAACCTCTTTCCATATGTCATATATTACACAGGAAAATTTAAGAACCCGCGTTTTGAATATTAGATAATCCTTTGCACACACAAAGCTACAGTCCAAATTTAATTGCATCAACTCAGCTTTTGTAATTGATCTCCTATCAAAGCTTTATTGAAAACCAACAATCTAGTCACCATGGACATTTCTTGCCAGGCCTCCGCCTGTGGCTTACTTATGTTGGGAAATTGATGCCTCAACGTCTAGATGAATAGTGCCCTCCAATGTTGGCATCCATCTGTCCCTTGTTAATGTAGAACTTTCGAACACTCCATGCTTATATTTGTCACCATTTGAGTCTTCATGTAAAAAGTAAGAGCATTGTTGGAACTTGGAAGACATCTTGTGGATTGATTATTGACTCTTTGAAGAGTTTGCTACATCAAGCTTTCCAGAGCGACGGACAGCAAAAACCAAACACTTTGATCCATGGCCATCTTTGAACTCTATTTTTCCTGAGGCTATTTCTGATATTCCAGTGAATCCAATCTTGCAAGTCATAAGAAGAAAATGCAGATAATTTGTTAGGCAAAATGAGTTTTTCCCACACACTCTTAGCAAAACTCACAATCTCTTGAAGGGACATTTGTCATCGATGGTAAGACCACGATTGGCTCTAAGTGAGTTAGTTAAGATTCTCTCATGGAACACTTACCAAAGGAACATTTTAATTTTTTTCAAGTACCAGCCATTTCCACAACTTAAGCCATAACGGCTCCGCAAGACACTAACTCTGATCCAACAAAAAATCATAAGTAGATTTGACAATAAACATACCATCATTTGTCCTTCTCCAGCAAAAAGTGTCATCCACATTTGCATTTGGGAGCCTGATTTGCTTAAGCTTAGCAATCACCCAAGAAGGAAGAATATTTCTCCACAAGTGAGTATCCCATTGCCTATTAGACAAGGTAATTGATTCACAGTCTCCTTGGGATTAATTCTAAAATTAGTCCTCTCTGCATAAAATATCAATGGATACTCAAGATTGGTCCAATTTTCAATCCAAAATTTAGTATTTGCGCCACTATTTAACTTCTTTCCATGACCTTTTTGGAATTTCTCCCAGACTGAGGTAATAGCTTTCCAAGTTGAAGATGAATTTTGCTTCCTATTAACAATCGGATATTCACCTTCTCCACAACTATACTTAAATCTTAAACATTTAACCCACTGTGCCTCTTTTTGAATGGTAATTCTGCAACATAGTTTCATGATAAAGCAAGGTTTTGAGTTTGAAGATCTTTAACCCCCAAGCCACCAAGGGCTTCGGCTTCTTCACATTCTCCTAAAATATAAGATGCATCTTTTTTGTTGAATTGGATTAGTTCCACAAAAAACTCCTACTAATTTTCTCAAGCTCTTGCAGGATGCTTTAAGGAAACAAGGTGGTTGCATGAAATAAGTAGGGATAGCTGATAAAACAACTTTAATTAGCATTATTCTGCCAGCCATAATGGATATTTTTTTTTCCTACCAATCTGAGTTTTGTACCAACCTTGGTAATGAGTGGAAAATATGTTAGCTTGGCTACACGGGCGTGTAAAATGGGACACCTAAATATTTCTCCAAATCAGTAGTCAAACTAATACCCAAAGTTTGGCTTAGCTCAAAAGCTTTGTCAAAGTGTACATTTTTCAAACAGAACATTTTGCATTAAGCGAGCAACTTTTAGTGGTAAATGATTTAAATAAAAAATAAAAATTGTAAAGTAGGCAACTAAAATTTTGAAGCACTCTAAAGTCAAGAAACGGTTAAGAAAACACTCTAGAGTTCTAATATCTTATTTGCTCAATTGCATTCAACTTACAGATTAAATTAATTTTAATTTTAATTTTAAGGATTGGGACATTAGAATTAATCTTAAATATCTTCTGATTATTCAAAATCCTTCTTAATTCTAACCCAACAATTTCTTACCAAAATTAAATTAAGAGTATTAAGTTCAAATCTCTTCTAATCACTTAGGTCTTTTAGGTATATCTTTGTCTTAGAGGCAAATTAATTATAGTTAATTCTAAGCATTTAATTCCAATGGTCCAAATAGAAATTTCTTTTTCAAGTTCATTCTATTCCTCCAAATTATCACTTAGTGGTGGCCAATTATCAAGCAACACAAATATATAGAAATTTCTTTTTCAAGTTCATTCTATTCCTCCAAATTATCACTTAGTGGTGGCCAATTATCAAGCAACACAAATATAAACTGAAATTAAAACATAAAACATCCATTAATTTCAAAGTAATTAGTAAATCAAGATACAACTAGAGTAAATGAGTTTATAAGACTTTAGAGCATCAAGATTCAACCACACGTAACTAAATATAGTCTCAAAATAGCAGAGTAATGGGACAAAATTAGATTCATAAGAGAAATAAATAGAAAAGTGAAGAAAAACTTAATGAAAATGTTGCTCCCAAGCTCCAAAATTGTCCCAAGCTCTCCAAAATGGCTTTTAGATCTTCAAAGAATGTAAAAAATAAAGCCTCTCTCAAAAAATCTTAATTTTCCTCTTTTATCAGATAGAAAAAATGAAACTGTGCATTCTGGTGTGAAATTCGTTGTAACGCCCGCTATAATGGACTTTGTTTTTTATTTATAATTTGCCTTATAAAATTGATTCGTTGTAGTGGTTGTTGTAGTGGGTTATCATCAAAATCCAATTTCTTCATTAAAATCATTATATTTTCCTTCCTTAACCTCTTTCAAGCTTTTACAAGGGTTCCTAAAATTAAAATGACTCAAATTAAAAGTAAAAATTATTTTAAAATAAATCAAAACACATTATTTATAAGACAAGCTAACTGATACTAAAACAAATACTAAACACAAGATAATTAAACAAAAATGATTAGTTAACTCTTCAATTAAACCATATAGAGAGTCATCACCTTGCCTAACTCCTCTTGAAGGAGAGAATTTTTGAGAGCTTTCACCATTCCATAAAATCTTCATAGTAGTCAAACTAATACAGCACATAACGAATTTAATAAAGGAGAGATCCAATTGCAAGTTTTTGAGAGTGTCTTCAACAAATCCCCAATCCAGTCTACCATACGTTTTTTTCATGTCAATTTTAAGTGCCATAAAGCCTCCACCATTTATCTTGTTCCTCATCGTGTGGATGGCTTCCTGGGCAATAATAACATTGTCACATCATTGTTTGCTTGTGAGAAAACTACATTGCTAAGGTTCGATCTCATTTAACAGGGGCGCCATCTATTTGTAAGAATTTTTGTGATAATCTTGAAGCTGGCACTACAAAAGGAAATGGGCCTCAACTCTTTGAGAGAAGAAGGGATTGATCAACCTTAGGTATCAACATAGTATATTAGTCTGATCACCAATCAAGTTTCACTAGTGGGATTGAAAAAAAAAAAAAAGAGCTCAAATGTCATCTGGCCCCAGGGCTTTAAAGGCCTCTATGGAAAATGCAGCATTTTTAATCTCAATTCTCTTTTTTGATTATGTGCAAATTACCTTCATTGATAGTAGGAAAAGCAACCAGCCATTCAAGTTCAGGGACAGCATTAGAATCTTTTGTCTAGAGTTGTTGGTAGAAATCACAAGCCATACTCTTTAGAGCGTTCTGATCGTCCACCCACTCGTTATTATCATTCTTAAGTGCTTCAATAAGTTGAGAGCTCAGAGCTGAGACTAATTATTAAATTATATAGTTGCCACACTAGTTTTCGTTAATTCATAAATAATTTTTTAACAATATTGAATGTTTTTAATTTTGTAATTTTGTAATTTTAAAATTTTATTTCTTGAAGAGGTATAAAAGTCTATAGATATACATAAATACACACACATATTTATAAAACTCGTCCATTGGTTTCACTCATTTCATATTTAAACATGCTTTCGAATTATATAATTCAAACAAGTTTTAACATATCAAATTAAAATATTCAATCATAAATCATGTTACAAACTGATTTTAGGCCAGAGGATCCAAACACACAAACTTTAATCTCAGAATAATATCCAGTTTGGTTGGCTCAAAGCTTAGTAGCAGCCAAGCTGTTGCCGATGTCAATTACAAACCGATATCTAACGTCCGCTCTGGCAAGACGTTCCATGGCAGTGTTGACATAATCCATTGGGATTACTTCAACATCTGCAGTGACGTTGTGCTTTGCTGCGAAATCAATCATTTCTTGAGTCTCCTTCATTCCTCCTATGGCACTCCCTCCTACCATCTTCCTCCCTGTTCAATTAGTTCTTCACCAATTCATCAAACACATCACTTATTTATAAATACCCGTATATTTATCTATAGTTTCATAATATACCCATTGCGAGATCAGGAAAGACCAGTAGCTCAAAAGGTTTCTCTGGTGCGCCCACCATTACCAGCTTTCCGTGCGACTTTAGTAACTTTATCAATGGCGATAAACTGTGCACAGCAGACACCGTGTCGATGATACCATCCATCGTTCCCGTGGCTTCCTGCGTAAGTACTCGATCAAGCAAATTATTGAGCAATTACATCAGCGAAGAAGATAAAGTTATCTCAAATAAGACCAATAAAAAATATATAATTGATTGCAGGTACCTGCATTTGATGCTGATCACTGCTAAGCAGAAACGAATGAGCTCCAAGGCGGTGAAGTGCTTCGTCTTGTTTACTGTGAGAGGTACTAATGACAGTAACTTTGGCGCCAAGAGCCCTGGCAAATTTGACAGCAAGATGGCCGAGACCACCGAGGCCGACCACACCGACGTGTTTGCCGGGCTCCGCGAGTCCATAATATTTCAAGGGACTGTAGACAGTGATGCCGGCGCAGAGCAGAGGAGCTCCGGCGTGGAGGGGCATGGTGTCTGGGAAGAGGACAACGTAGCGGTGGTGGGCGACCATGTGGTCGGAGTAGCCTCCGTGAGTGACGGTTCCGTCGTGGTAGGTGGAACTGTAGGTGAGGATCATGCCGGGACAGTAATTCTCAAGGTCATTGTTACAGTCGTCGCAGGCATGGCAGGCACCGATCATGCATCCCACACCTACTTTGTCTCCGACCTTCACCTTCTTCACTTCCTTCCCTACCTCTGTAACTTCACCCACAACCTCGTGCCTGCATAAGGCACAGTGATGAGACATGCATGTTCTGTGCTTGACTATAATTAATAAAAATGAGGAAATGAAAGTAATAAAAATAGATACCCAGGAACAATAGGGTAGAGGGAGAGACCCCAATCGTTGTTGACAGCGTGAAGGTCAGAGTGACATATTCCACAATACAATACCTTAAACCTCACGTCATGATCGCCGGTTGCTCTACGTACAAAAAGAAAAGCATCATCACCATAGAGAGAAAGGAGAGAGAGTGTATTTTCAGAAATACCTTCGGGAGAAGTTGAAAGGGGAGAGAAGGCCTTTAGGCTGTGTAGCTGCCCATCCAAATGCCTCAACTGGGTGTTCTTGATCTTCTGCTGAATTTGCCATCTCAGACTCCAGATTTTGTGAGTGTCGCAGACAGTGAGACAGACGCAGCGGGACGTACCGGCGAGTTGATTTGTATTTGTAGCCTCATGACACCTTCGTTGGGGTGTTATTGTTACATTTTAAAAAGCAAAGAGCATAGTTAATGGATTAGTTGGAGCAATCATTCCACTTTTTTATTCTGCAGAGAAACGCCAAAATCATTTGACTTCTTTGGCAGTAAGTTGTTACTTTGATGCAGTATCAGTTATATGATTGTATCAGCTGATCTCTGCGGATTTTTTTTTTTAATCTGATTAATTAGGACTGCTTTCATCTTTTTTTGGTGCAAGCCCGTATGTGATTTATTCAATGCAACCCATTAAACGTTTACATAAATTAGATAGCAAATCAGAGTCTATGATGCCAAGTTCAGTAATTCAAATCTAATTAATTACTTTCATTTTGCCGACTTCATTAAATGCATTATTAACTCGTTCGAATGTTCTGCGCTCGCGTGTCAGTTACAACTTGCATATAAATAATAGACAAAACGTCTTTCGACGACAAGATTCCGGCTGCTCTATTGTTCACAGCTAGATTATCAAGACCACTCCATAAATGCTTATTTATAATAATAAATCATGATTAATTAATATATTAGTGAATGAATTATTAACACTAGTTTCCAAAGCAAGAATTAGGACAAATGGGCAACGACGTATATAATTTTATTTAAAGAAACTATTCTTCTGCCGACCATGTGCCCAGATTTAAAAAGAAAAAGATTGTCGCTAAATCCATTAAACTATTCCTATTAAGATGATTGACATAATTAGGTTTGTTTGAGGTAAATGGAGGTGACGAACTACATGTTCCTGATATATCGTAATCAGCAGTTTTCCTTTGTTTAATTAATTATATGCAATAGTACGGTTTTTCGGTTTGCCACGATATTATTCATAAGCAATGTAATTTCTTTATAAATTTTATTTTAACGATATATTGAAGAAATTTAATTTGAATTTTGCTGAAAATTATTGACATGGTATAGTGTTGTTGTCTCGAAGCAAGGACCACTTTGGGGGAAGAAAAACTATTGTATATGCTGGACCCGGTTTGGGTGTTTATCACTGTGATAAGATCTAGATTATCCAGATTTTGATCTGAATAGTTCAGATTTAATCTATTATTATATATTATATTTTTTAAAATAAAAATTATAAAAATTATAAAATAATTTTAATAAATTTTTTATTTTTAATATGATCTAGATTTAATTTAAAAGGTCTAATTAAATATTAAAATTTTTATAATTGATATATATGGACTATCCAAATATATTCTACACAATTCAAATTAACACTAGATTAAATCTAGACAATGCAGAATACATTTAGATAGTTAATATAAATTAATTATAAAAATTTTAATATTAAATTAGATTTTTCAAATTAAATTTAAATTATATTAAAATTTAAAAATTTATTAAAATTATTTTATAATTTTTATAAATTTTTATTTTAAAAAATATAATATATAATAATGGGTTAAATCTGGATCATCCAGATCAAAATCTAGATAGTTTAGATCTCATCACATTGATGAACACCATGGTACCAAACCAAACTCGGTATTTGCCTGCTCTATGATTTGTCCAATGAAGATTTTGCATAAATCTATCATATAAAAATTATAAGCAATGTTCATGAGCCATGAACAATGCAACATTTCTCACGGTCAGTGCACCACGGGACTTACAAACTGCTTCGGAATCATGCAAGGCCAGAAGTTACAAACATCAAAGCTTTTGGCCAAAAAAAGAACACACAAATCACACAGAGACACGCATCCTATTATAAGTAATTCTAGAAACTAGAAATTAATTAATTATTATTACCAGACCCAAAAAGCGAGGGACTCTCAAAGCGGATATAGTCATACATAATTCCTTCAAAAGGCGATTTAGCTTTGGGTTGTGTGAGGTAAATGGTGTTGGTTCCTCTCACGAGCAAATAGCTTGGTACTTGCATGCTGTACCTCCAACACAATCCATGAATCCCGTGCCTTGCTACCGCATTGTCCTCCCCTCTTAATCCTGTGTTGAACCGCTGGTGATGATTCGCACCTTTATTGAACGAAACCTAATTAATCCCACCAAACAACAATATTAATACCTCAAAATCATCGACTTGAATCTCCGGCAGCTACTTCAAAGGTTGAAGTAGAAAGAGATAGAGAGAGGAAGTAATGAAGAAAGACGACCGATATGGATGGTGACATATATATAGGCCTCCCAGTATACTTACAATCAAGCGAGAATTTGTGGCTGACGCTAAGGAAATATGTAGTGCGTAACTTCCTCTGACTACAAATGGGAGTTCAAATCTTATCTCCCATGTTGTTGAAATGTACGTGCCATTTCCCAGGTCCCTGCACGGGTAACAAATTAAAATCACATTTTTAAATTAAAAATAAAACAATTACTTCCTCATTTTCAAAATAATTGTCGCTAGTGGTTATTCCCTTCGCTCGTATTTATAAGTCATTTCTATCAATTTTATCAATATCAATACAATAAATGTACAAAGGATAAAATTTTATAAAATTACAAATATAACCCTCAAAAAGTAAATAAATTATATAATATTATTTTTTTGTTTCTCTCTCTCATACTTTTTAAGGGTAGTTTAGGCATTTTATTTAAAATAAAATATCACTGTCAATTCAATGATTTATAAAGTGAAACATTTTACCCTTTTAAAATGTGACCTATAAAGTAGACCAGAGGGAGTATGTCTCAATTCAAGAAGGATATATTAATACATAAGAATAGTAATTAAACTTTTATATAATTTGACTAATGTGCCATCGAGTAATGAAAAAAAGATATAGTATTTGAGATTATTTGACTTGAATTGTTTATTCTTAAGGAAGGACAAAATTGTACAAAAATAATACTCTTTGATATTCTGAAGTGATAAATATTTTGAAAAAGGGATAAACCCGAAAGTGAATGATTTTATAATGGAGGGAGTAAAAAGCAAGTGACCACTTACCTGGGAACTTGAGCATAGAACCAATCTTTGGAATAATCACTAACACCAACAGTGTAAACGAGGTCATTGGTTGGATATAATTCAACGTAACGTTTCCACAAGCCGTATTGTCTAAACCTATGTTCAGGCTTCCCTAAGTATAACTTGTTAACAAGGTTAGGATATGGGTCTGGCACATAAAACTCTTGGGCTGATCGATCAGGAATCCCAATTTCCCAAACGGTAGGACCATTTCTTGGAGGCCAATAATATAATGGACCTAACTGGATGTCATCTCCTGCAACACCAACAGTTGCATTAACAGTATCTAAAGCAATACTTATACTTACATCATACTGAATATTTTGAAAATTGTATCAAGTTCATAGAGAATATATACATACCTGGAGTGACGGTAATGACAAATTGATATTTGTAATCTCCAAGAATGCCAGGGACCCAGGCATAGAGGTTGTAGTTCCCAGGCACAACATTTTGTACAGTGAAGAAGCCGCTGTTATCAGGTTGGGTCCAAAATTGATAACCCTGCAAATAGATTTAAATACATATATTATCTTAATTTCTTATTGACTCACTATAGAGTTGTTGAAAAACAAAATTTCAATCGCAGGAGCAGAGATATACACCTTGCTCTCTGTTTGCCATGATCCTTCATCTCCTGGCAGGGCCAGGCCAACGTAAGCATTGCTAATGCTAAATGACGCATCACCTGTAGTAGCGTACCTAGATAATCAAGGAAATTAAATTCATTAATTATTAATTAATGATTTAATAAAAAGAAACTGCAGCTTGATAATGGGCCGGACAACACATAAATACCATCTGATGAGTAATTGTCCAGACACTTTTCCCCGTTGATTTGGTGGAACGAAATCTTTTGATTGAGGAAAATCATACGGCCAGCTGTCAGCTTCCTTTTGCATCTAATTGACATAAAGAAAGGTCGTTAATTAATAAGAGAATAATCAAAGAAGGACGTTAACAATTAATTATGAATTGATTAATTAATTAATTACCTGGTTTTTAGCATCCTGCCAGAGAGTTTGAGAATCACGGGGGTTGGGAGCAGTGTTGAGGTACAGAAAAGTGGGGCCGAACACCTTCGTGTAGGACTCGCCTTGTTTGAATATCATGGACATGTCCTTCCCAGCATAGTGCGGGCTAAGGAAAGACTGCAAATAATGAATCAAATTCAGAAAATTGTCCACATGACTTATGACCTACCATACCAGTGGATATATACCACGCACCATCGCATTTTTCAATCTAGTGATTATTTCCTTCAGGAAAAGACAACACAGTCCTTATATCTAGTTCTAGATGAATATGCTAAACTCCATATGAATAGTGGGACTTGTGGAATTACGCACGTTGAGGGTGACAGGGCCAACATGACAGGTGAGACTTTGCTTGGTAGGTCCACCGTTACGGAATTCGTTGGAAGGTGTAATCATCCAGAACCCAACTGATGATGAATTGGTACTGTTAAAAGTGACCCATCCGCTCACTTTGTTGTCTCTGTTCTCCACCGAGTACATGTATTTGTCATCCACCTGATCCGTCACCACCACCATATTACCAACACAGAATTATAATATGGCTGCGTGATTGTAGAGTATTAACTGAATGAAGCGTTAATTACCTCTCCTAAGAAATCAGAGTTGCTGGGATGGGTTAAGAGGACAGCTTCCGGATAATCAAGGGTTTGGCCGTTGGATCTATCTTTAGCGGTGGGCATTTCTCTTTGCCTTTCGTCTGATATAGCCATGTAGTGGAACCTGCAGGGTTATTGTAGACATTCACTGTGAATGGTAAATATTTTACTTACCCTTGTTTGATTGAAGGCAAAAATTTAGCTCTAACAAGAAGATAATTATTTAATAAAATAAAACAGAAGCAAAATGAATGCTGTTCTACTTACAGGTCTTGGCTGAGCTTGTAAACGAGCCGAAAGACATCCACCCGAATTGCTGGAAAATCTTCTGAACGCTCCAATATGGCATATGAATATAATCCTGAACTGCCTCTGCGTAAAATATACCTGCAAACATTGAATTTATCTTAGAAAAATTACTCAAATCTATTTTCCGTCTTCAGCTATTATTAATTTCAAAACTGAATTATGAAACAGACCCACCTTATATCTACATTCATTGGGATGTTTCCTGCAGGCAAGGAAGAATTCCATGTGTATAAGAAAGAAACTTCAGCTTGATCTTGGTTCTCCATTATAACGGAAAACGTTGTCCCTTTGAATCTGCATAACAAATATAAATTAATTCAACAAAATAATAATGGACGTCTTCACAGTTCACATGCATAATATCAATATCATTACTATAGAATACAAAATTTATAGCAAAAAAATCCAATACCTGTAGTAGCTACTGCGGTCACCCAGTGGGTTCCAAGAAAAGTCCCAATACCTGCAAATATTATTACTTTTATGTCAATGAATTTTATTTACGGCTATATTTGGGATTGTCAGACGGGTTAAAAAGAAGAATCAAATAAAAATAATGAAAATTTTTTTCCCTTATTTTCATATTTGCATTTGAAATATGTAAAATTAATAAGTTCATGAATTGGATTTATTAATAAATATTGTTTGTAATGTATAATTGTGTATGTTTCATGATTTATTTTATTTATTTTGTAATTTTACCCAACAATTAATGAATAGTACTAATATGTAAAGATGAGTTTATCTTGACTGATTCTGGCTAATTAAGGTAGTACATATTATATGGGGTAGGGGTTAAATAGCGTCTCAGAAAGAATTAAAAGTTAAATTGAATGCAGAAAGTGTGGAAACATATATGGGGCAGGGGTTAAGTAGGCCACTAAAACTCTCTCATGCACCTATAAAAAAGGTTATGCTCAATAAAAATGTATCCTTAGGAAACATATTTTAATAGTTTTATTAATTATATAAACTTTTATAGTTTCAAAATAAATAAAACATGCATTCAAATTATTTTAAAAAATTATATCAAAATTTTGGATATTTATTTATATTTGAAATTTTTTCAAATAAAAATATTTTTATAATTAACATATACACAGAATTATTTTAAAATTTACAAAGAAACCTGTGTATTAAGGCAGCTGTAATTTTCCTTTGCTTTTTGGGTGACACGGGACTACAATCCCTAAAACGAAAAGAAAAGAGGTACACTTTTCTATTAGAGATTCAGATTTATATTGATTTTATTTTTTTTAAAATAACAATTTCAGAAAAAACCCGTACATTTGTTTTTTAAAAATGTGTATGCAGTTTTAAAATTAAATAAGATATTATTCATGTAATTTCAACAAAATTTAAGGGGTAAGGTACTTTTGAAATTCTCAAAAGAATATACAAAGTTTATTCAAACGTGACTATCGAATCAAGAAAGTGATTGTAATCTTTTTCAAGATTCAGGAACACGCTAAATTAAAAATTTATGAAAGATCATTCATTGAATCTTCCCGAATAATAATATTGAACAATGGAGGGAAAAATTGAAAATGAAAATGAAAAATAGAAAGTGAAAAACTAATTAGATTACCCTCTATTATCAGGACGATTGCGAGGTTCAAGAAGATTATCAATCCCATTATATGATACTCCAATCAAGTTACCATCTGGCCGTGTCAGCGTAACGCTAACAATCCCATTATCCATCACCACCTGTAAATTCCATCATTTCCATTTTTTTATCCAAAGCTCAACTCTCACCATTTTTTTTTCTTAATATGTAAAATGAAATGAATTTTTCAAATAAAATAAATCAATTAAATATGGGAGAAGCCAAAATATAGAGATCACCTTGTCATCACTTTGTTGCAGCGTAACAGATTGATGAGAGCCTTCAACCTTACGTACAACACTTTTGTACCCGAACGATGGAAATGTTCATGGGACAAAAATATAGTAGTTATAAAAAAAATTTGATAAATGTACTAGCTAATAAATCTCAAACCTGAACAAAGAAAACGAGATGAAGAAATACGCAATACGCACCTGGATTTGGTGATGTCAGAACATCCCGCAAGCAAGAAGAAGAAGAAGAAGAACAGTTGAACACCCATCAATACACGACAGTGAAGGAAGAAACAAGGTGGTTTTGGCACCTGAACACCTATTGTTTTCATCATTAAATTTCACGAATGTGTAAATCTTCAGATCAATAAATGAATCATCAGATATACATTAACACGAGAAAGACCAACTCAAAAGCCCCCCAAGGCATGCAGGTAGGTCTACTGACTATCACTTGGGTCGTACATATATATAAGATCAGAGAGGTGTGAAGGAGCAGTGTAGTTTTCTTAAAGTTCATATAAACAAACTGAGATTTTCTTCAAAAGTTTCAAATTTAAGAGTTTCATATAAATTGTTGTTAAGATGTATATTATCAAAAGTTTTAATTTTAAAAAATGTAGGAGAAAGTTAAAGTGGTTGATTATCTCAATTTGAATGTAAGTATTGCCGCGCCATAAGTCAAGTTAAAAATCGTGATTTTATAATCACAATATATGGATATTTTGTCGGGCTCAATTTCAAACCGAAAAGGTTCATACGTATAATCAAAATCATGATCTTACTGACCAACCAAAAAATATGTTACGATCTTCAGCATTTGGCCTTAATTTCTTCTTGAGTGATGTTTAATAAATTGAATCTCATTTTGATAGTAATGCTAGATTTGTGTTTCATTTCATATAAAATATATATTTATATATAAATGGTAAAAATAACTTACAATATTTTTAGAAGACTACTTTTTTAACATTTTAAACTGATAAAATGTGTATAAAAATATCAAGTTAAGGAATAAAAAAGTTGCATGGAGCCTGTATATAGATTTTATATTTTGTGTTGAGTACTGAAAAAGTACACGCTTCCCGGCATTATATATTCAACTTGAAAAATTATATATGTGTGTGCATGTATTAAAAATAATTATTAATATATTTAAAAAACAATTAACTAGTCCTTTGCTTGATAAAAAAAATTAAACCAGTGACTGCATCAATTCATTTACGTACTATTTTTTATTCAAATTGTTTTTTTTGAGATAAAATTACAAAAAGTTGGTGAAAAGACTGGGAAGATTTCCTGATAGGGAGATGATTGATTATATAGTTACAGATTTGTATTCTCTCTTAATATATCTCTCCATACTTAATATATCATCCATCCATTTTAATTACTTATTTCATTTAATGCTATAATATTATTAAATATCACATTAAAATAAATATATTACTTATTATTATTATTTAAATATTTTTGAAAATAAGATTATAATTCTCTTTTATAGTAGTTATTAAATGAAAAATATATTTATTTGAAAAAATTGGACCACTGGCTGGAATATAGTTGTTACCCAAGAAATGTAGATTAAATTTTTAAAAATTTAAAAATATAACTGATTCACATACATTGATATACATTCATATATATATATATATTATTGATATACATCGGTATATCGTTGATAAACAATATTAATAACAAGATTTTAACAAAATTTATAAAAGTTTTTATTGTTGATATACAACGGCATGTCAATGACAATTATTAAACCGGCCATAATGTAAAATATAAAAAATGTTGAGTCATTATTTTGATTTAATCCTATAACATGAGTTATATTTATAAAAGCTCTTATTTATTTTCATGCCATAATTAACAATTTTACATGATCAAATCAAATAAATAATTAAATGGAAAGATGTGATTAAGTATGGAGGCAAGTATTGAGAGAGGGCACGGAGAGAATTTAAATCCGAGTAGTTACCGTTAGACCTCCCGGCCCTTTTGGCACAAATAGAATTTGCTCTGGAGCAACGGTGCTTGACAGATCTTTTTTAGCTGTTAACAATTTCATATCTAACATAATTTCTTTTTATTAGAAAAGAAGACACACAAACGTATTAATACCAAGTGCAAGCCCGAAACCTCTTCCATTCGAGGAAGGTAACCTCGGCAGTAGTGTTGAAATTGAATCACGGATCTTTTGTCAATTAACTTTGCTTATAAAATGACGGTGAAAGAAAATGTTGGGAAACTCATCACAAGTTACTGTATTTAATCTTGGAAATGGAATGATTTTTTTAAATAAAAGAATTATATAAATCGGGGAAGCCAAGATATAGAGATCACTTGGTCATTACTTTGTTGCCGCGTAACAGATAGATGAGTGCGTTCAATCTCACATACAACACTTTTGTATCCGAATGATGGAAATTTATGTTCAACATTAATTAATCCATGCGATGCAGCTGTCTAAACTTAATTATGAAGAACATGAATTCGACCTGTCTTGAAAATTATAAAGTATTGTTGTTCAATCCTATATCAAGCAGAAACGAAGTGCTTATTAAAAAAAAAAAAAAACACTAACCGTTCTATAGGTTATATAGTTTTGTTGGTCAATCATATGTCAAAAAGAAACGAAGTACTTATTAAAAAAAAAAACTATAAGCTTAAAAGTTATAAAGTATTGTTGATCAATCATATATCAAAAAGAAACATAGTACTTACATATATATATATATATATATATAAAATAGAAATTAACTTAAATATAATTTTTAGAAGATTAATTAAATTTTTTTAACATTTAAACCCTGTACGTTAAAATGTGTAAAAAAAATTATCAAAGCACTTGAAAAAAGTTGCAAATTAATGAAAGAACTAATTATTTATTAACAGAGATAAACTAGATAATTACACATCTAATTACCGAATGAACACAGTCAAGTTCTTAGAGTGGGAGGTCTCTCTAAACGTATATAGTCATACATAAGTCCTTGGAAAGGATTAACAGCAAGTGGCTGTTTTAAATAGACAGTGTTGTTCCCTCTGACTAAATTATTGCTTGAAACATCAATGCTGAACAACCAATACAATCCATGGATTCCATGCCTTGCTATAGCATTGTCTCCTCTTAGCATTCCAGTTTCAAATAGGGGACGCTTCTTATTACCTTGCTCATTCAACCAAACCTGCAATGAAACTTCTAAATTAATCATGTTCATTCTTAACAAATACTCTATCTGCAGCAGTGCAGCATAATTAAAAAGAAGCTAATTACGTTGCATGTAATTTATAGGATCTTTTAATGACACATTCTACAATTCAGTTCAGCTCTACTTCCAATACTTGACTTCTTCACACATTAATTGACACATGAATGCTAATGTACACTATGTCTAATTTGTCTTCTACACCACAACAACCACACAACATGGGAAAGATACTAACAGAAAGCTAAATCCAAAAACAGCTTCTATGTTAGCGAACCTGCAACTTGGAAATAGTGGCTGATGCTAAGGCCAGTCGTAGGGTGTAATTTCCTTCTAATAGATCGCGTCTTAGAAGTTCAAATTTAATCTGCCATGTAGTTGGTTGATACTTTTTATTTCCCATGTCCCTGCACCCACAAAATTCACCATAGTGTCAAAATTAAAAGAACCAAATTTTACTGATCAATATTGTCACGCTAACAACAATAACTAATCTTATCCTATTAAGTAAGGTCAATTTTATGGATTATATAATGCCATTTTACTATCATTTATTAGACTTATCCCATGCCATCTTATCATTAATGACATTTTATAGATCACCTGGTAACATGAGCAAAGAACCAATCCTTGTCATGAGAGTCAACACCAACAGTGTAAACTTGATCATTTTTTGGATATAATTCAGCATAACGTGCCCACAATCCATATTGTCTAAACCTGCGAAAATAATGATTATTGCCTAGTTAGATGAAAGGAAAAAGAAAGTAAGCATATTGATGATAGCAACTCTGTGTGTGTGTGTGTATGGTTTATGGTCTAACTTTTCTCTGGAACGATTATTGTATAATTTGTTGAGAAATTCATGATTTGCGTTAGGGATATAGAATTCTGCTGCTGAGCGATCGGGGACACCGATTTCCCAAACGGTGAGACCATTTCTTGGTGGACTATATACAAGAAAACCCAATTTGATCGAACACCCTTCACATACGCAGAACAATAATGTTATGTAAATGACCAGGTTTTAATTAGGGTTTATACAAAACCAAATTTGAATGAAGAAAAATATGATACCTGGTGTGATGGTGATTGTTGCATTATATTTATAATCACCAATGAAGCCAGGAACCCATGCAAATAAATTATACTTTCCTGGTATAACATTCTTTATCACAAAATAGCCCTCCATGTCAGCTTTGGTCCAGAACTGATAACCCTGTAAGATTGTATAAAATTGGAGTTCAGAATTAATTAATGACCCCAATTTCAATTGATCCTTCATAACAACAAATACCTTGCTTTCTCTTTGCCATGATCCTGCAACACCAGGCAAAGCCAAACCAACATGGGCTGACTTAGCATTTTGAAACCTGCCTCCTTCGATATAATGATCTTGAACCAGTAATCTTCCAGCCACGCTTCCACGTTTGATGGGTGGAATGTAATCTTGTGATTTTGGGAAATCATAAGGCCAGCTTCGGACTTCATTAGACATCTAATTGAATCAAACAAAACATTAATTATATCATTGTTTTGTTTCTTTGGACAAATTAACTTGAGTAGAGGAGGGAAATTAGTATTAATTACTTGTTGTACAGCATCTCGCCAGAGCGTTTGTGTACTCACGTTGCTTGAAATGGAGTTAAGATAGACAAAAACAGGGCCAAAAACCTTCTTATAGGTCTCCCCTTCTCGAAATTCCATGGCTAAATCCTTCCCACCGAAGTGCATACTCATAAACATCTACGAATTACTCAAATTAGTTTCTTACAGTGTACCTCGACGTGTAGCAAATGAATTAGATTAGAAGTTGCATGGCGACTTACAGAGAGGATAAAAGGGCCAACATGAGAGGTAAGATCTTGCTTGACGGGCCCACCATTGCGAAACTCGTTACTAGGTGTTATCATCCAAAAGCCCATGGCTGCATCAGAATTCATGCTAATCCAACCGTGCACTCTGTTGTCTTCATTCTCACAAGAATACTGGTATTTATCGTCCACCTAAACCAACCTCGTAATGACTCAATCATTCATGCAAATTCTATAAACTAGAACAAACAGTACTGTACTCATGCAAATCAAATTAATACCAAGAGAGAGGGAAAAAGATGTACCTCTCCTTTAAAGATTTCGTTGGACGGGTTGGTTAAGAGAACTGCTTCAGGATAAGCCAAGACTTTCCCTCTTTTTCTATCTTCCATTGTTGGCATGTATCGCTGCCTAGTGTCTGATATGGCCATGTAGTGGAACCTGTCCAGTATAAAATCCTTTTTGTTCGTTTCAGATAAAAATATGTTCTTCACACTTACTTAATCTCCAGTCTTTCTGGCAATTACCTGTCTTCCTGAAGCTTGTAAACCATCCTGATTTGCTCAACCTCCACTGCTGGAAATCCTTCTGGTCGCTCGAATATAATGTAACAGTAAAATCCGGAACTGCCTCGTCGCAATATAAACCTGAAAGTTTAAACTTTATCTGATAGTCAATGAACATGTAACATAAACGCCTCTGTTTGTTCTTTAAAGATCGAACTTTGAATCCACCTTTGGTCTACGTTGATGGGGGCACTTTTGCCTTCCATGGAAGATGTCCATGTTCTCATAAACGAGATCTCCACTTGATTTTTGTCTGCTGCTACAATTGAAAACTTTGTCCCGTCGATTCTGCATTGTTTTATACGTGGATATAACAATATCATAATCAGTTCGATCGGTGCAAGAAGCTAGCATCACTTACTTTGTAACAATAGGACAAGCTTGTATACCTCTGACGATAATTACTTTTTTTTCCTGGTTTATTCCAAACCACATCAAAATACCTGCGATACATGAACAAATGGAAATTCTTTTAACTTTCATGAATAAAAGTTGAAACTTCCATTAGATTCATGATTTCATGAAGAAGTTTGAATCAGGTACCCTCTGTCTTGTTCATCATTACGAGATTCTAGTACATTGTCGATTCCATTATATGATATTCCCACAACATTGCCCTCGGGTCTTGTCAGAGTGACCTGGACTATGCCATTGTCAATCGCTACTTTCCCACGATGTTCTGTATTCAGCTTAACTGCAGAACTGGGTTTTGGAGTACCATTCATATTTCCCCTCAAGATTTTTCTGCTACTGGAAACATGTATGGGAAGAAAAGTTGTACTGATAATAAATGCATATAAATAAAATTCTTTTACTGCTCCTTTATCCAAAAAAAAAAGAAAAGAAAAAATTATTTCACAACTTTATCTAAGTTTAAGTTTATTAAGTATTAACTGAAATACCTTTCTAAGATCATGTTGTCAGAACAACCACATTGCGAAAAGAAAAGGTGCATATTCATTCCCAGCCACAACAGGAAAACTCGTTTCCTTTTCTCTCCTACGTTCATCTTTCACAGCTATTTATGAAACCTGCAAATCCAAAACTAGCAACTTCATTTCAGAAGAAGAATAGTGTGGCATTATGATTATGAATCCAGATGATGCTGTCTAAATGCTAAGAACAAAATCAACCATGAAGATCCAGAAAGAATATATTCCTTGTTCTTTACTGAGAAACACATATGGACCAACCTTTATAATTACCAATGCAGACCTTTGTTCTGGGACATGCTGAAAACTGTAGGATATGAAAGACCAGGGTTTTGTCTGATCAGAAGGTTCTAATTTTCCATGGATCTTTACAAATATATAAGCGCTAGGCAACTCCAGCTTCTTTTTCAGTATTGTTAACATTATTTTAATTTTTTTTCTTTTGCGACGTGGATATTGTTTCTTTGAAATTGTGTTTGCATTAAGCAAAACAAAAAAAAAAAATTGTGGATTGTATTTGCATTAAGTATGCTTGGAAACATCCAAGTAGATCTCGGTATTCACTAGGTTCACCGTATAGTCTGAGGAATAGAGAGAGATCAAAACAAGGAGAAATTAGTGGATCTCTATTAATTGCTTATCTCATTCCTTTCCTTTTTCTACTTCTCTATGTCTCTCCAAATGACCAGGCAGGTTTAGACAGTAAACAACTAAATATAGACAATCCATTTTGGCCTTTGGGAATGAGTTGCAAAATAAATTTACATTTACATTTAAATATAACTTTGGATTTGGGCGACGGAAAGTTTCGTCGCTTCTTATCCAGAAAGTTGCTAACTGATGGTTTACCAATTTCTTCACTCAAATTTTGAAAAGATTTATTTATAATCTTTGTTACTGTGGAATTTTTTTAATAATTTTCATCTCATTATAAACAGTAATTATTTTTAAACAATACAGCTTCTATTTTATGATGATTTTATCAACAAATTTTATTGTTATAGTCGAACAATTATTAAAAGACACGTGGTCTCGCACAATCCCAACTAGTAAGTGGTGAATGTTGATGCTTGGTACATGTATTACGTGTATCAGAAGGCACTGACAAACTCTGGCGCAAAAAAATAATAATAAACGAAATAAAAATAATAAATAATTTTAAAATACAAAACACTTTTAAAATAATTTCACGTCTCAAAATATAAATATTTTAATAAAAATATATATGATTTTAATAATGTTTTTTTAGTATGATGTTTTTTATTATATTTTTTTAATATAATTTCATAAATTCAATATTAAATGAAATATATTTTTAAAAATAAAATTATAAAGTACATTTAATAAATTTAATATCTTATTACTTGAGAGAAACGACTGTAAAATAAATTTTGTTTCCTTGGAGTTATCATCTCAGCCTCACTCAAACTAATCATTGATCTTGAAAAAAAAAAAACTAATTATTGGTCCAAATTATTTCATCCAAAAAAACTTTAATTTTTTTTAGAGAAAATGATAATTAGATTTTAAAATACTAAATTAATATCAGTTAAGTCAGATTATAAAATAATAAATTAATGTCAGTTAAATCCCTGATAAATTTTTTTAAAAAATAAGTCAAAAATATTGATCCAAATTATTATAAATTTAGAAGTTGCAATTATAAATAAGTATTTAAATATTAAATGTAACTTTTAAATTATAGTAAAAATTTTATTTGTAACTATTTGAATTAATATTTATAATTTATTTTGTAAAATTTTTTATCAAAAACCTAACCATCATCAATTCATTCTTCTAAGATCTAACTATCATTGTCCCAATTGTGTTATTATCTTTAGACAAAAGTATCTTCATAGTATTTAAAAAATTCGACTAGTTTTTACTTTGCATTTATAAAAATCAAGATGATAATTTTTTTCTTAAAAAATGAGGATGATAACTTTATGAAGCATCAGCATACATTTATTTTTATTGTTTTTTTTTTTGAAAAAATCTTCGATTGCGAACAATAATGTAAGTTATAAATGTTTCGTTAACATTGGCCCAATAAAATGTGTCATTGATTCTCAATATCAGTAGCCCGTGATCCAACCCCACCCAACACAGTCCATGCAAGATTTATGCTTTATTTTACCCTTTTATTTATTAATTTAAAACTTCCACTTTATTAACGTAAAATCATTGTGTGATCTTTTTTCCAAATGGCATGGTCGAGTATTGATTTCAAACTAGAAGGAATTGGGTTAAATAAAAAAAAAAGTAATCTCTTACAACATAATAAACTAAAATTTAAGTTATTGCTAAAAAAAATGCACACATTTGATGTCCCATGTAAGGCTATACAGAGGATTAGACGAGACTGAATTTCAACCTAATCTAAAATTTGGTTTCTTTTATGAAAAAAAATTGAGTTAGACAACTCGTAGTATGATTTGATCTAGTGATAATTCAAAAATTAACATAATCAGACTTGGTCTATAGAATTAGAAAACTGATCCTCTTAGTTTAATACTCACTTAATTTTTTTTTCTTTTTTCTTTATAAGAGGCAATAATCTATTTTAACCTAATAAGCTCAATTAAGATAATAAAAACACTTATAATTATAATAAATTAAAAACACTTATAATCCATTTCAACCAAACAAGAAGAAAAATTTTAGTTACAATCCAAGTAATTTAGATTATTAAATTATTAGTTTGAGTATATGATCGTATGAGCAACCAAACTTATTAAATTATTAATAGTTTTAACTTATTATTATTATTATAATCAATTAGTAAATTAATTATAATCATATTAAATACATTTAATAGGACCATACTGTATCAAGTGATCCAAATGCCCAATCTCCTGTCCAATCCAATTCAAAAAAATAGTCTAGTCTTTTTAGTCATAAAAGACCAATTTTTAACGGGACCAAACCTTCTCGGATCAGACTGAGTTGAACAAGACTAAAGGATTTCTGCACAGCCCTAGTCCCATGTGTCTTAAGAAGAATTATTTTTTTTAGTTCTATTTATAAGTTATTTTTTATATTTTCACTAGAATCAAGAAAAATTTTAAAATTTATTAATTTTGTCTAAAAATTTAACAAGTTTCAAACTTTACCCCTATTAAATATACCTATTTTAAAATGGTAAAGGTGCAAATTTAGCCACATAATATTTTTTTAGGAGCATCTGATAACCTAAACTATTAGATAGTGTGAAATAAATTTTCAATTTTAAAAAATGAAGCATTCAATAACCTCGTGTTAACTTCATCTAACGGATGTTATGTGGGGTCATAAATGACAATGGCACTCCACAAGCACTCCACTTCAGTCTGTGTAAAAGTATAAATTTAGTTACGAATTAATTTTTAAGAAGTATTGGGTAGCTTCTACTATAAAAAAACAGATTATCCAACATCTTTCCATCAATTTTGCTGAAATACCATTTATTTTTATATTTATGAGACCTATAATGTATCAATTTTTTCAATCTTCTTACCTTTTTTTTTAGTCTCAACTTGAAAAAAAGATGTTCTAAGAGCTTTTATCTAAAGACATTCATAAAGACGATGTCAATAAAATAGAAGCTTGATTTTACTATGCGTGCGAGAAGCTTGATTCTAGTTTAATTTAACCATGAATTATTTCTTCAACTTTGTTGGCATCATTTTTATGAATGTTTTCAAATAAGAACTCTTTGAACCTTTTCTTCTCAACTTGAGATTGAGAATGAAGGCAAAAAGATTAAAAAGATTGATGCATTATAAATCTCATAAGTTTGAAAATAAATAATATTTAATCAAAATTGATGGGAAGGTGTTTGATGATTTATTTTTTTTATAGTAGGAGTTATCCAGTGTTTCTTAAAAAATAATTAGTGGCTAAATTTATACCACCACATGTCATTTGTGGGCCCTACATAATGTTTGTTAGGTGAAGATAATGGCGGACAATCTAGTGCTCTATTTTTGAAAGTTGAAGATTTATTTTGCACTCGATAGTTTAGACTACTAAAAGCTCCTGAAAAAATAACTTATGACCAAATTTGCTACTTTACCCTATTTTTAAATGAAATACTTAAGCATTTAATAGGCTTCTCAACATTTAATAGGGGCAAAATAATCAAGATGAACATAATAATTATTGAGATGCTTTATAAATACTAAAACACACACACTTTTCCTACCTTATAAATAAAACCAAAAGAGTAATTTGAATAAAAATTACATGAGCAATGAGAAAAAAAATTAAAGATTTCAGACCAAACAGTTTCATTTTCCTCTTCGAGGAGAGGAGACTAATTTTATAGCATTTTGTGATTGTACACCTGATACTTCGAACTCAAAAAGGCTGAAAAAGAAAAGCAGGAACTAAAAAATGCCAATCAAACAAGAAAAAACCAAACCAACAAATAATTGATTGTATTATTTATTATTTTTAAATAGTTACACAAGAATACACTTACACATCATCCCTATTTCTAGCATAAAACCCACACCATTTCTAAATATTAGCACTTATTTTTTACCTTATCAGCATACAATAGTTTAAGAATGAAAGCGCTATCTTCAAATCTTCATCCAAAAAACCAATATTGCCTTGTAAGCTATACATGCTATACAACACTTACTAGGAGTAAAATGAAAGAATTACATGTGAGATAAACTAATTACACACCTAATTACCATATCAACATAATCAAGTCCTTAGAGTCGGTGGTCTTTCTAAGCGTATATAGTCATACATCACTCCTTGAAAAGGACTTATGGCAAGTGACTGTTGTAAATGGATAGTATTGTTCCCTTTCACTAAAAGATCACTTGGAACGTCAATGCTGAACAACCAGTACAATCCATGGATTCCATGCCTTGGTATGGCACTGTCCCCTCCAAATTTTCCAGTTTCGAACAGAGGAGGTACACTGTCTTGCTCATTGATCCAAATCTGCGGAAAAACACCTCCAGATTATACTGATTCACAGTCAAAAAACTTCAAGCAATGTGTTTTAGTGTACCTTTAGAACAGAATTAGCGGCAGCTGCCAAGGCTAGTTGGAGGGTGTAATTTCCTTTGAATGGGTCATATTGCAAATTGAATATAATCTGCCATGTTGTTGCCTGGTATGTCCTATTTCCTGTGTTCCTGCTCAAAATTCATCATGGTGTCAAAAATAACAATTGTACTAATCGATAGTCATTAAAGAGATCAGTCAAAAAAGGCCCAAAAAAAAAAAAAGGAATGAGATTTATGTATCAGCATGAGTCCTATATATATGAGTCACCTTGTAACATGAGCATAGAACCAATCTTGATCATACGAACTAGCACCAACAGTGTAAACTAGATCACTGTTTGGATATAAATCAGCATAATGTTCCCATAAGCCATATTGTCTAAACCTGTCAAAGAAAAAACACAATGTGATTGAGTGAAAGAAAAGAGTGTGTATTGATTGATAATGTGTTCATGAATATGTAGTTATAGGGCTATGAACTGACTTGTCTTTGGGTTGCTCATTATATAGTTTGTTCATGAGTGTAGGGTAAGGGTCTGGGATATAGAATTCTGCAGCTGAGCGATCAGGGACTCCAATTTCCCAAACAGTGGATCCCTTTCTTGGAGGATTATAAACAAGTGAATCCAATTTGATTACACTACCTGCAGATTCAAAACAACTGAATGAATCAGTTTTCAAATAGGGGCATAAATCAAACCAGATGGATTTTGAAGAAAATGATGTACCTGGTGTAATGGTGACGGTAGCATTATATCTGTAATCACCAATAAAGCCTGGAACCCATGCAAACAAGTTGTAGTCTCCAGGAACAACATTGTTCATCACAAAATAACCTTTCTTGTTTGCTTGAGTCCAAAACTGATAACCCTTTAAAAAACCATAAGAATTGAAGATTTGAGTTTTAGAATTAATAACTCTCGTTTCAAATAACCCTTCCATGACAAGAAATACCTTGCTTTCTCTTTGCCATGATCCAGCAGCACCAGGAAGAGCTAGACCAACATATGCAGAGTTAGCGAATAGAAATCTACCTCCTCTGATGTACCAATCTTGAACCAGTAATCTTCCAACCACGCTTCCACGTTGAGTGGGTGGAATGTAAGCTTGCGATTGTGGGAAATCATAAGGCCAACTTTTGACTTCCTTAGACATCTGTACGAACCAAACAACGCATTACAATGTTGTTTAGTTTATTTGTGGAGAAATTAACATAAATAGAAAGAAATGTTTCATAATTACCTGTTGTACAGCATCTGTCCAGAGGGTTAGTGGATTCTCAGAGTTTGAAACAGAGTTCAAATACACAAAAATAGGGCCAAAAACCTTTTTGTAAGTCTCTCCTCCTTGAAATTCCATAGTTATCTCCTTCCCAGCATAATGAGTGCTCACAAACATCTAAAAATCTCCCAAATTTAGTGAATTAACAAATAGGAAATCTAAAAGCTACTCGTTTCTTACTGTGTGTGGGGGACTCTTACTCACCCTCATCCATCAACTTCAATTATGACTTTTCTTTTCACCACACATGTACTTTTCCCGTTTTTCTTTTTTGGCCAAAACCACGTGTACTTAAGTTCGTTTTTGTTTGGACTGAAATAGTGAATAGATTAAATTACCATGATTACAAACCATTTTAATATAGAAACCCTTCTTTTGGGGTCTACAAGTGATTATGAAAAGAGATATGATTGTTTACTGTTAAAAAAACAACATGCATAGTGAATATCCTAAATTTTCTTTTTTTTAAAAAACTATATAATTATTCATGTAAAGTTTTTGCCCAAAATTCGTTTCAAAATATAAACAACACAAATTTGTTAAACAGATAGATAAACCATTATCGTCAAGCTGCAACTGTAAGAAAAAAGTGTCTAGTTTTCTGCGAAAGAGTAGACTTACAGAGAGGGCAAAGGGGCCCACATGAGATGTAAGGTCTTGTTTGATGGGCCCAGCATTGCGAAACTCGTTGCTGGGCGTTATTACCCAAAAGCCCACGGGTGCTTCGGCATCAACGCTAACCCATCCATGCACCCTGTTGTCTTTGTTCTCACATGAGTACTGATATTTGTCGTCCACCTGAACCATTTCAACCATTACCATCAATCAACAAAACTTTTAACTTCATTTGTTCAGAAACTTTTCATGAGATAGACAGAAAAAGTTACCTCCCCTCTAAAGTCTTCATTAGATGGATTGGTTAAAAGAACAGCTTCAGGATAAGCCAGAGGTTGTCCTGTTTCTCTGTCTTTCATGGTTGGCATGTATCTTTGCCTCGCGTCTGATATAGCCATGTAGACGAACCTGTACAGTTATGTAATCTTTGTCATTCGTTTCAAAGACTGGGTTAAATTTACTTTATTCCTAATAATCTCTTTGGGAATTGCCTGTCTTCCTGGAGCTTGAAGACGTTCCTGATTTGATCAACCTGCACTTCTGGAAATCCTTCTGGGCGTTCAAATATTGTGTAAGAGTAAAACCCAGAATCGCCTCTTCGCAATATATACCTGAAAAATGGAATTTTGATCTCATAATTAGTCGATTAATATATGGCTCTGTTTGTTCTTGAAAAGGAGAAAAACTAGGAATCCACCTTTGGTCTATGTTTATGGGGACATTTTCGCCTTCCAGGGAAGGTGTCCAAGTTCTTACAAACGAAATCTCCACTTGGTTTTCGTCCAATGATACAACTGAAAATTCGGTCCCATGGATTCTGCAGTGTTGTGCAATAATCTATCAAATCAGTTCTGGGCATGCAAAACTATTGCGCGACTTTAGTTGTGATGAAATAACATGTCAAACATTATTATATTATACCTCTGAAAAGTACTGTTTTTCCCAGGCTTATTCCAGACCACGTCAAAATACCTGCGAAACAAGGAGAAAGGAGTTTTATTTTTATTTTTTTTCCCAAATTTTGGTAGGTTAGTTCATTTAATTTCATGGGGAAGTCTCTTTCCAAAAAAAAAAAAAAAAATTCATGGGGAAGTCTGAAACAGTTACCCCCTGTCTTGTTCATCGTTACGAGATTCTAGTAAATTGTCGATTCCATCATAGGATATCCCGAGAATATACCCCTCGGGACTGGACAGAGTGACTTGAACAATGCCATTCTCAATCACCACCTGATCATGATCTTCTGTATTGAGCTTCACTGCAGATATAGAAGGTCTGGGATTTGAAGCGTTTACTCCCCTCAACTCTCTTCTGCTATTAGAAACATGGGCAGAAAAAAGGAAAAAGGTTATATTCAAATCAAGAATAACATTCTGAAAGCTAGCATTACGTCATCAGGTCCATTATTCGGAAACAATGAAGCATGCATGACATCAGATTGAATAAATATGGATGTGAGCAAATTACATTGGCCCAGAGTGGTTGTTAAATCCGGGTTTCAGGTTTCTTCACTTTTCTTTTCGCTTCTTCTGTTTATTGAGGAAGTCCTTATTCCAAGTTAAGCGGGAGATGAAATTTCCCCACCAACAAGAGAGAGAGAGAGAAGGAGTGGGGGTGAAATGTGTTGTCAACGCAAAGACTTTTGTTGGTATTGTGAAGCAGAATGTGGGACACAGAAAGGGAATAAAATTTGCAGAGATTGAGTTCACGGAGTCTGGTTATTTCGGCAAAAGGGTACAAACAACGAGACCTCATACCCTACAGGTTACGACTATGCAACAAGAAGACAGGAGACATGTGAAGGGTTAAGAGTAGATGTTACAGGGAAAGATGAGAGATGCAACAGAAAAGCTACCATGACGTGTCTTTTCTTTACCATAAAGATGGACAAGTGAAAAGCAAGTACCTTCCTCTGGCCCAAAAAAAAAAAAAAAAGGAGAGCAAGTACCTGCCCATTTTCCAGACGCCTAATCCAACCATCCCATAATAAATATTATTATAGAGCACTTCGACTTTTAAAAAAGTTCGTGAAGGAACAGGAACGCGTATAGGACAAGCTTTAAAGCGATAACCGTGAGCGTGAGACTCTCTTTCCTCGCTCTCTCTCTCTCTCTTTTTTAATAACAAATAACTTATCGTGGAATGAAAAGAATAAAACCAGTAACATCTAAGTAGAACGTCTGGTTTTTGTTTTAGTTCTCACTTTCCCTCCCCCACCCCTCTTTCTTTCTAACCTTTGTGTATTTCTCTGTGTCACGTAAAGAGAACAAAAAAGCAAAAGCATGGAAGAGATAATAATAATTAAAAAAAGAAGAAGAAGCAGAAGGCGAGGGAGGACCTAACTGTGGTCTTCTCGTAATAAGGGAAACAATCACCCGGCAAGAAGCAGAACAGCACAGTCATTCCAAACCACCACAGCAAGAAAGCCTGTTTCCTTAACTCACCTACCTTCTTCATCTTCCCAGATGAAAACCTGCAAAACAAAAGCTCATTCCAGCTTCATTCCAGAAGAACAACAGCATGACATTGTGATTATGAACAGCGATATTAATTAATGCTGTCAAAAATATACCAGAAAAAAAGAGATGAAACACAGAAGATCCAGAAGGAAAATCCAGGTTATTTACTGATAAACCGTCGACTAACCTTGATTATTGTCAATGCGGACAAGGTTTCTGCAATATACAGATAACCATGGAAGACGAAAGACCAAATATAATTGTGTCCTTTTACGATCTCTCTCTCTTTCTCTGTTTCTCTTCTTCACTAAATTCTCTTGAAACCTTAATAGGTACCTTCAAAAAACGTGCACGCATTTGCATAATGCCAAGCGAATGGCCTTTATATATAACTGCAATGACCCCTCCAGCTTCTTCTTGAGGTTATACTTGCCACTTTTTTTATTTTTTTAATGTTTTACTTTCCTCATTCTTTAATCATTTGTTAATTACTTTTTTCTTTTTGAATTTTTGATGTTTTGACACAGCTGCTGAAAGTGCTAGAGAACATCATGCCCCTCGGTTTTCATGATTTGAGTTCACACGACAGTAATTCTTCCTTCGGCTTGGGACAAGGTCCACACTATAGGGGTACAACAGTCATTCGGTTTAAAAACTCGGGGACATATTTGGCAAAAGAGCTTGGATCACATGACCGGTTAGGATTTGAAATTGAAAATTTTTTTTTAAGAAAAAAATTATTTTGACGAGATTTTGTGGGATAGTGCCAAAGTTTGACAGCGACCGAATATTCAGATTAACAAAAAATTTTGACTTGGTAACAAAGAAAAATCTGTTCTGTTAACGAAGTTGTTTGTGCTGTTATACCAAAGGTTGAAAAAATCCAAGACTTCATAGATGTTAAATAGATATATTAAACTCGTCCCTAAGAACTTTGAAATACAAATCAATAATCATAAAAACTTAATCCTAAAATGGATGTGTTCGGTGCACACCTAATCTGCGGCGCTAGGAATTCATCCTCATAAATCATCCTGTTTACGTGCTATGTTTATAGGTGAACTGTTATCATTTATATTCAAAATTCAAACTAGTCTACCATCAAGCTGAGATCTTTAGCTTGTGCCGATGGTTTAGACAAATATTTAAGTTGTTCGGTATGTTTGGCGCTCAATAATATATTTAAAGAGGAAAACAATGTCATGACACCAAAATTGGACTGGCTGGCTCAACAAGTTGGATCTGATTTTGAGTCCGATCCGATCACTATAAAAAAACCAAGAATTTGGAGAATTGGTTAAAAACCAATCAAATTGGCATTGAAACAACCAAAACCCGTAAAACTAGCAAGAAAACTAGTTGAACTAGATACATTATTTTTATTTTTTAAATTTTTAATTAATATTTTTAAACTATAATTTATAAATATGTATATCTAATAAGTATTATGAAATGAACAAAATACAAGAAATATGTTTGAATTATGTGTGTGTATATATTAAAGTTATAAATTATGAAATAAGTATATATATATATATAGGATAAAAATGATGCAATATTGATGAATGTTATCTTTTTTATTGTACATTATTTTGTTTGAAACTTAAATATTCATTTTTGTTACTATATATAATTTTTTTACTTTAAATATATAATATTTAAAATATATCAATTTATTTATAACTAATTGGTCTACACTTCAAACAACGGTCCAACTATTGAATCATAAACCAATACCTTGATTGATTTAATGGTTAGTCCAATTTTTATAACATTGAAGGAAAGGCAGAGGAAAATATAAAATCCAAAAAAAAATATTATTAATATTTTTGATAAAAATAATTTTAAAATTACTACTACTATTATTATTAAATAATAATAACATATTTGGGTACATAAATATAATTTTCTTCTTATCAACAAGGTCTCATCTCTCAAACATATAGTTATAAAGGAATCTTGTGCATGCCATTAATAGTTTGACAAGTAACATTAGAATAATTTATCTCTGTTATTTTAAAAGTCAAAAGAAGAAAAATGCTGAATTTCTTTAATTAGTAGCGCAAAGATTAAACATAGACATCAATCAATTAGTATTTAAAAAAGAAAAAGAAATTTTGGATAAGCAAAAGTCATCCAATCTCACTAAGGCTAAGATGAGTCCATGACTCAAAACTAGTACGCTATGCTTGGTGTATGTATAAAAGTGAAAAATGGGATCAAGTATGGGAAGAGGGTTTTTTAAAAACCTATATATTATCATGTAATTATTGTTAGGTCGAACGTATATCATTGACTAATTATCAGCATATCAAACATTGAAGTTTAACTTTTTTTTCAATTTTCCTTTTAAAAAAGGATTTTAAATTTTTGTAGATCAAATGTAAGATAAGTTATTTACGAATTATTCATTAAAAAAGGTTTCCACCTAATAATGAGATTTGAATCATAAAGTTTGACTGACATATATATTCAAGTACAACTACTTCCAATTATTGGTAGCTATCTGCCCATCTACATATGAAAATGGATACTAAATATTTAAAAGAAGTAAAAAAAAAAAATCACAACATAGCATGCAGTGAGACACGAGTTATAAAATTATATCTACGCACACATGAATCAATGAATGGAAAAACGTAAGCCGCTAAAATAATTGTTTGAACACTCAGAAAAAAGAAAAGGAGAAGTGGAACCGCCCCATACGAAGTTGGCAACCGAAACCATGGCCAGTTTTTGATAATTGACAATGGCTTATATATTAAGTGAGCCATCCACACTATTCATGGGTGCACGTTGTTTACCAACAAATTAAATTGAAATCCCACCTGTGATACTTTTTTCAACACACCCATTCATCAATTCTAATCTTTGAACCACTACTTTCTTGCTCTCCTGTATTGTTTTTCTTCCTTGCCTAGGAGTCTCTCCAAAGAAATTAGAAGAAAAGAAAAGAAGATTTGAAAAAAAATATCAAATTTAAAGTATCATACTCTATTAATGTAAAAAGCTTCCAGTATATAGATGACAGTTCTAACAACAACTAATTAATATCCTAGTACTGACCAATAAATGCAGAATATTTCTTAAATTTCAACAGCATAAATCTCAATATATAATATATCATAACACTCTCCTTAAATTTAAGATGTTTTGTAATAATTTGTATTGCTTAATTTAAAAAATAAATCTCAATACACCGTACATTTCTATTGATTATTATTATTACTATTACTATTATTACTATTATTATTATTATTATTATTATTATTATACTACATCCACAACAATATCTGGAGAGCTGGACCACACGTAGAAAAAGTTGGATACCAACTTTGCAATTTCCTTTTCCATGATTTGTTTAGTTCATTTGGAAACATAATCGGCGAAAGCATTTAGTTATATTCATAAAAGCATTTGTTATTCAGCTAGATTCGATGTTCTTGGGCGCTACATGACATGTGCTACGCATTGAAAAACTTTCGCCATTAGGGTTGAACCCATACGTCAAAAAGTCGTTGGTTCATTTATTTATTTGTTTCTTCCATTTGTTCTTTGTTTTTATTGATATATTGGAATATTCTAGTACGTGGTAGAGAGTTCTTGTGTGTTTTGCAGTAAAATGAAGTGGAAGGGCGAAAATAATCCTTCTTTTATTTGATGTCTAATAAGCCTACTTGAGGGAGAGAACATTAATAGACTCATCATGGGTCAAGTAAATTTATTGAAGATTGCGGTAAAACAAGTTCATCATGATAATTCGTTTACAATTGGCCTAACGGAAGAAGAAATCATGCAATTTGCAAATTAGTAATTTCTTGTTAGAAAATGAAGGAATAGAAACCTCGACGCCAAGCAACTTTGGCCAATGATAAAGTGTTATTGTAGTTTCATCCCCGATTTTCGTAGAATGTTTTGTTCACAAAAACATAATTCTTCTTAGTTCTTACCATCTGTTGAGTTTTATATATACATGTTGACGTTTACATAAAATTCATGGCCTTGAGAACAAGGGGATAACTCGTAGTCATATGAAGCGATCAAATGCGTTAGATTCTTTCCTTTAGTCCAAGATCATAACTAATTGATGAGTCATAGGTTAGGTTATTCAAATTTGGCGCCAAAAAAAAAAAGGTGAGAATGTCAGTACATGCTTGAGGTGTGCGAAATATCTGAAAAACATTAATTAATTAATTAATTAGTACAGGTGTGAATGCCTGACCTTAGAATATAATTCTGGAAGCCTACGAGAAGAGTGTTAAAAGGGTTACCCCCTCTTGTCCAAAAAAAAAAACAAGTTAAAAGGGATAGATATATATTATTTATAAATTTTAGATTATAACTTTTTGATATTAGAGGAACTTCTAAATATGGCATTATGTCCATTGAATTCTTATTATTAATTATTAATTACTCTTTTTGTTAAAAAATTTAAGGTATTTTTAACTGAATTTCACTTTAAAATAAAGTTATTACCTACTTTCAAACTAATCCTATCTTTTTATATTTATCCTTATTAAACACCCTCCAATAAATATAAGATTATTATCAATAGGGATACTTTTAAAAAAAGGTAGTGATTATATCTCGAAAGGCTAAAAATATCTTATATTTTTTAACTTCTAACTACTCAAAAAATGTTTGATACTTTTTAAGTATAACTTTATATATATATATATATATATAATGGGAACCCATTGACTTCTATTTTTATTTTTTATTTTTATAATGGCCTTCTTTAAGATGATAAAGCAAATCGCATCGCTGGCTTTAACAACAATAAGCCTAGTTACATGCCTCTCACAACTGCGAAGATTAAGGGAATCCTTCAAGGTTTAAAGATTAGTTACAATTACAATTACAATTACAATGCATATCTTATCAACCAATTGATATGCCATTCATCATCTTTGTATTTATTAACTTCTCTCTTTTTTTTTAACACATATTGATTGATTTCTTTTTGTGGCATCTCTATAGCAGGTCATTATTAATTCTTCTTTATTTACGAGGGATTACATTAAATAAGGGAAAATTTATATATTTAATATTATATATTTAAAGTATTGATTTTCAAATAAATTAAGACATGTATATTTTTTATATATTATTTATTTTGTAACAAATTCTTGTTATTAATATTATTAGTATATTAAAATTCACATTGATTAAACAAAAATATATAAAGGCCAAATAATACATTAGTGAAAGGCCAAAATAAAACAAAAAATCTCTGAAATATTAAATTCTTTAAAAAAAAGAAGATAATGACTGGAAACTCGTTGTTGTTGGATGAAAAATATTATTGTTAAAACTGAATTTCATGGTTGTCGCTGGCCCAT